CATGTGTGTATGATGTGATCAGTTTGTTTTATCAAGTTATCTACACAAGGCATTTTGTAGAGGGTAGCAGTTTGTCTTCAAATAACTGCTACCTGCACATTTTGTCTGTTTCTCAAAACAGAATTATGACTTTACTCTTGAAATTTCAACTCTAAGAAAAAGTGAATATTATATGTGGCCCTAATATGACTTTGTAATATAAATAATTTTAGAAAAAACACACAAAAGGACTATATACTAACTAGCTACAGATACAGTTATAGAACAACAGTAGCACTTTCCAAAAAGCTCGGTAATAAAGTGGTAATAGTCGTGTGATCATCTCTAAGTTATTAGCACTTAAGTACCTTTGGTAGTTTCTGTGTAACGAGCAGGAAACAGAGCTGCAACTGCAAACTAGGTTAGTCTAGTTGTCTTGAAATAAACTGACCATTATGTTAGGAGCTGGGATGTTGGGTGTTCTGTTCAGGTGGGCGTGGCCGTGATCCTCAGAGTTCCCCCAACACACCTGCGGTGTATCAGACGCCATCAGCCCGGCTACTTAAGGAGCGGCGTGGCAGATTTCTGCTGTCAGATTATTGATTTAAACTCAAGTAGTAATGAGTCGGGCGTCTTTCGTGTACGACTACGATAATCGAAGTTCGCTTTGCACAGAAAAGGAAAAACTAATTAATGATTATATCTTTTTCTGACAAAGTTGTATTTTTACTCAGTTGTATAAAGCATTTGTATTCTATTTTATCCTATTGTATATTTTATTCTATTTCTTCTACTGTATATAGTATTTTATTTTATTCTATTCTGTACAGTTGTGTACAGTATTTATTCTTATTATATTCTAATTTTTGCCTCATAACTTTTGCACTGTCCACTTCCTGCTGTGACAAAACAAATTTCCCACGTGTGGGACTAATAAAGCTTATCTTATCTTATCTTTGTACACAAATTATAATGGTGCATTTTTTAATAGGACAGCTTTGTTGCTCAATGAACTGCCAATCACATGCTTGCTTTAACATGGTTTTTATTTATTTTTTTCAAAACTTTAAATCATTCAGTATGCAAGTGTTCAGCTCGGTGCTACTTGCTGCAGGAGAGGCTGGATCTTTGGATGGTTAGGGGTCAATCATTAAGGCGGAGCAGGGTGGTGGTGTTGTGCCCCCACCAACCCTGAACTGGACAAGCGAGAGAACATGGGTGGCATCTTATTTTTATGTACTGGACTTTGGAAACATGTGTTCCACTTTCTTTGCTACCTGAAATATTTTTATCATATTATGTATCCAGATATAACTTATGCTGCTATAGAGGGTCCTTGTCAGGGTTTCCTGTGTTTTGCATTTGGGAAAGCAATCCATCAAAGCACAAAGCTGAACTTGTGCTACACCCATAGCCAATGCACAAGAAGCCTCAGTGCCAGTCTCCTCATAGCGACAGCAGCTAAGCTACACACAGTTGGTGAACAGCTGTGCCTGTTAGCCAAAGAGTTCACAGGCATCACATGTGAGGAGAAGGCTGCCAAACAGCTTGGTGACGCTTACCAACGACACAGGTTGGTGATGAACAGGATCCATGACAGATGATAAAAGCGCACACTGAGACTACAGATGTTGCAGATATGGCCAATTTGCTTGTTTATATTGGATATGAACATCAAAGTGCAGCTCGAGAGGACTTTGTTCTGTAAGTCACTTCAGACAAGAACTACAGCTGAACACGTTTCCCAGCTCCTGAGTGCATCCGTTCAAGAGAATTGGCTGGATTGGAAAAGGTGCACTGGAGTCTACATGGATGGTGCTAAAGCCATGACAGGTCGCCACAGCGGAGTAAGCTGAATTTGGCGCCAGAAATGCAGTGGACTCACTGCAGTATCCATGGTGAGGCCCTCGCAGTGAAAAAGACACCTGGAGAACTTAAGGCTGTACTAGACTCAGCTGTGGAAACTGTCAGCTTCATAAAGAGCAGGCCGATGCACTGTTTCATGTGCTCTGATGGGCATGTCCAGCTTCTGCTCCATGCAGAAGAGGGAAGGCCTGTTCTAGGCTTTTTTGAATTGCACAGAGATGATCTTACAGCACACAAGCTTCCCTTATCAGATGTCTTTGAAGACACTGTGTGGCTCAGTCAGCTTACATACTGGTCGGACTGTCTCTGGTTTAAACGAGCGGTCATAAGGGTGGTAAGATGAAGCTGGGGAGGAGCTCTAACCGTCCATGCTGCTCCCTGTGAAGGTGTGCTTGCCAAGACGGCCCTGTGGCCAAACACTCACCTGTTATCAGTAACTAAATGTGTGCACTTGTAACTGATTGGGTTAGAATTGACTGGCCTGGACAGGTAGGCCTCAAAGACTGGAGCAAAAACCTGTTTGAGTGATGTTATAAAAATATGCAGGTTTTTACATCTTACAAAAGGTTTAAACGTCCACAATTTAGACTTTTTAATTGCAGGACTGAAGTGATGTAGCAGGAGCAAAAGCCAAATCAAATTACTGTAATTATTAGGTTACTTTATCACTGCATGTTCCTCTTGTGTTGTCCTCTTACATTGACTCCATCACATAAGAACATTCAGTCACGAGTTTACTTTCCTCGATGCTTCGTTCACTTTATGCTGTTTAACAGGATTTATCATTAGACTCTTTGTGGTTCCACCATCATCTCTTTTTAATTCAAAGAAATACTTCATAACTCTGTTCATCACAATATAACTACATGTTAAAGTCAGATTGTCTGAGGTTAGTGCAGCCTCAGTGTCTCCTGCTCTTCCCACGCAGCACCAACACTGAGGCCTGTTACAATCATTTCATACGTTTTCTGATTTATGTTTGTTACATTTATTCTATTCAGCAGAATTAACTATTTGCAAAATCACATATATTCTGATTCTCAGTTATGAATTACAACATGCTTAATCCATTCATCCATTTGCTTTTTTTGCTTTTTCTTTTTCTTTTTTTTTAGGGTCACAGGGGGGCGGAGCCTATCCCAGCTGTCTTAGCAGTCTCCGGAGTACCCGGAGGGAACCCACACAAACATGGGGAGAACATGCCAACTCCACACAAGGATGGTGGACTTGAACTCAGGACGTTCTAGCTGTGAGGCGACAGTGCTGACCGCTGTGCAGCAAAAATGCTACTGTTATTTCTCTTATTTAAATCATGCATAACAGGCCAGACATGCATTTCTTATGGATGTTAAGTACTTTTACCTTTCTCGGGTGTAATGAGAGCCAATCCCACCTCTTTCAACAGGCTGCCAATAGTTTGCCTTTTTCCCTTTTTTATTTATTTTACAGTGACTTTTACTAAAGGTATTGTTTGTTTCTGTGTTTTCTCTTTGTTTGCTCCTGGTCTGTGGTAGTGTTTGGATTTGTATGTGTATTTGCTGAAACTTATGACTGCACCACTGTACGTCTCGGCCAGCACACTCTTGAAAAAGAGATTAATCTCAAGAGTTTTTCCTTAATAAAGGTTAAATTTAGAGAAAACATTATGACAGATTGAGCTGTTTCATCTTTAAACCACAAAGTATTTGATTATATGTCATTATAGCGCAGTATTATCAGTGTGTCAGTGTAGTTGGATAGAGCTTTTTTTTTAAATAACAACAGAAATAGTAATCTTTATGATTATTTACAGTTACATATATAATTTGGCGTCTGTATGAAAATCAAACCCGTCTTGCTCAGCGCCTCTCAGGTGACTGAAATATTAACTTTAATATATTATGTTGTGTATTTTGACATTTTTCTTCATAGAGTTTGTGTCCAATAAGACAACTGTGTGCAAATATTTCTCATAAACTGCATCAAGCGCCTGTAGATTCTTACAGGGTATTTTTCTGGAGCACTCAGTGCTTTCTGAAACATGCCTAAAAGCTTTCTGCCTAACATCCACAGCAGAGCGTGGTGAACAGAGCATGAGCACATTTAAACACAGTCACTCAGTTAATTAGGTTAGCTCACTGAGTAGCACTGCTCACAGTATGGAAATTACAGAGGATGATATATGTGCACACTTACTCTACATGTACAGTATGCGTGTGGACAGGATCCTTGGATGAGGCATGCATGTGTGTATTACTGTTGTGAGGATGTGTAGATACATAAAACTGCCCCTCAGCAGCTGACAGTTGCTGGGAGTCCCTCCTCTACTGCTTTCCCCTGTAAACAGGCCTTTCATTCAATTACAGCGTGTCACCAGCAGATGGCGCTTTCTTCACAAAAATCTTCCTCGGTATTATCAGACGACTGCTGATTTAGCACTATAGGAGTGAAACAGAATTTACTTGAATGTCACATTATTTTGACAGCTTTTGTTCTTAAACCTCTGTTAAAACATAAAAACATAAAAAAGATGAAGGTTTACAGTTTGATCATTTACACATTTTGTACCACAAACCACCAAAACTGTTTCCAGCAAACAGTTCTTCATTCATTTCAATCTAATGTAATAAACACATTGAATGTTACTTGTTCTTTGTGAATTATGAGCACATCCTTCATTTTTTCTGTTAGTTACAATATTTGTATGTATCTGTGGAACTTCTTTAACCTCTGCTATTGTGCAGAGGTTAAAGTTTGAAGCCAGGAATCTCCCAGTAGTGTGATCTGGACCAGCAGCTTTCCATGTGTTAACTCTGCAAGGAGTTTTCCTCACATCAGCGGAGGTCAGACACAGAACCCGGATGTGTGAGGGGGTTGGACTTCCTCATCACCACGTCATTCTGAGCTTCAAACCGTGCATAGAAGTTGTTCCGTGCGTCTGGTAGGGAGGCGTCACCGCGGCAGGCAGGTGTTGATGGCCTGGATGCCCTGCCACATGCACCACATGTCGCCGCTGCTCTGATGGCTCGAGACAGTTTGTATATAAACCAATGATGTTAGTCCCCCTCAGCACGCACACGCACACACACCAGAAATTGGTTTGTTGCCTCAGGACAATAAAGTGTTTTAAGTGTAACAAAATGTCAGTAAATTCATGAGAAAACAATTAATTGGTTCAAAATTTTTATTTTAACAAACAAGCTGGTTTTCATATGTGTTTAGTAACAATGAAATAATAGACTGCTTTTTATAGCACTTCCTACATTCACACTCCAGTGAAGCAAACTGGGTTCAGGAATACTTTGGCACACAGACCACCAAACACTAACTTTCCCATCAGCAGATGATTTGTTTATGAATGACTTGGCTGTGGCTCAGGTCTGTGCCTGGGCTAATACACCTGTGTGACACCACGCATGACGCATACATCCGTATCTGCAGTTGTACAAGTTTCTGTGTGTCTGTCGGCTCTGCGTGGAACGACATCCTGGCTCCTTACATCACAGTGTCCTCTAAAGACACACACAGACACACACGATCTCCTAACTGTTCTTTAGACATCATTCTGGGATCTTCTCTTACTCGCTGTCACTCTCATCCATTTGACATTCCTCACCAAGGGAGTGACCCGAACTATATCAAACTCTTTCCTCCCTTAAACTGTTCTTGTGCCCATTTTCTGTTTCCACATGAAGCCAACAGCATTCTTGCTTATGTATTCTTGTTGTCCAGGTGTGAGAGTACACAGTGAAGCGCTGTGGGTACAGTATCCTGTGGGTACAGCATCCTGTGGGTACAGCATCCTGTGGGTACAGCATTGGTGAGGATCCAGTGTGGGGGAAGCATGTCTTGAGGCTTCTCGGATGAGAGGTGAAACGTCTTCAAGCAACTTAAAGAAGCCCAGACGCTTTTCTTTCCAAGCTCCTTAGACTACGATGACCTGGAGGACTGAGAACCTTCACAGACATATTAGTTCACTAAGCCACTAAGTTAAGCTTAGCGAACAGAAAGTTCGGATTGGTCCCAGTAGAAACTAGAAACAACAGGTTTCTGTACATGAACCACAGAAGAAACACTGTAGACAAACAGCTTTGCAGTTTAACTAACATCTAACCTTAGTAGAGCTTGACTGTTAGAAAAGCACTTTCTGCTAAGCGATCGTCGTTCTCACTCGGATTCATTCGTTTGTCTTGAAAAGGTGTTTTATTTTTTTCCTGCTTTACCCGCCTTTGACTTCAACACTGTGAATGACCTTCACAAAGCCTGACTAACTATTGCTCACTTAAATGGCACAGTCTGGCATCTTTGGATCCTCTTGGAGCGATTCACGACTGTGTTTTCTATGGAAACTTGTTTATTAAATCCGCGGACATCCCGACCATCAGTCCGCCTGCTCTCTCTGAAAATAACCTTGAAACAAATGTGCCATCAAGATCACAGCGAGGTGTATGAATGTGAATGCGAGACATGTGACGGAGGCAGGTGAGCCTCGCAGGTGATGCTAATCCCCCAAGAAGAGTGAATGCAAACGTCCCCTCGCTCTTACATAAAATCTCAGCGCACTCCACAGGACTTCATTGTGACCTCCTCCCGACTCAACTCTCAGGACGAGGAATGTCGCCGCATTGACGCTGCGTCACGTCCAGTTTGACCAACTGTCAGGCGTGGGTTGCGTAACGGCGTGGAAAACGCCAAGCGGAAGTTCTTAAGCCAGATATGGATTGGTGGGTGGCGCCACTACGCCAGAGCCGTTGGATGGGAGGGCTCCGCACTAAACACGTGACTAATTTGATGCTGCATTCAGGTGGTTGTCATAAAACAATACAAATGTAGCTTCATTCTCTCAAACTAAATGCAGCAGGCGGAAGCTAAAGAGAAGAAGCATCGTCTGTGTGTAACGACAGCACACAGGTAGTCCGGTAGTATACAGACTCTATGGACTGCAGTAGTGAATATAACGTCTGACTCACATGATCACAGGCCGGATTATAAACTACTGCCGTGACGGAGCATCGTGTCGTGGTCGCTTTTGTTTGGTTTCTTATTTCAACTTATCGCCGTTTCTTTGGGTGCTCAACTTAACTTAACTTGTATCCGACGTCAGTGAAGGCAACACAGCTTCCAAAGGCCACCGTGAGACGGCGTCACCCCGAGCGAGAGAGGCCGGTGTTTGTTTGTGGTGCCAGGACAAAATGCTGAATCCGCAGAGGTCTCTGTCGGAGCTCCCGAAGACGTCGACGGCCAGTCAGGTGGAGCGCGTTGTGCTGGTAAGCTGCTCAGCCGTCGCGTATATCGCACCATTGCACTAGCAAACAGCGCTGTGACTGAAAGGCTGCTGGTGCTTCGCACTGACTCGTCTGTTATTGCACAGAGCTGCCCACGGTAGCTGTTAGCCCCGCGCGCTGTCATGTTACTGTGACATTGTGGTTGACGGTCAGTGGGCCCATGGCAACGGCTCACTGACCGTCACCGTGAGAGCGACAGCTGAGCCCGAGCCTTCTGTTTGCTGCTGACTACCGAGGACAAACTGGACCTAAACGTTTTCCCTGCAGGGCGGGGGTCGTACTGTTAAACACGGCATCAACACGCGTGTAAATGTCACAGAGTGTATCTCTACGACAGCAGGAGGGAATGATCTAATATGGCTGTGAACAGATTCAGCCATGTACTGGTAAAACCGTCTGCTTGCCAGTAACAACCAATCACAAGTAAGCTCCCACTGTCACAGCTGGCTGACGGTCCACAGCTGGCTGACGGTCCACAGCTGGCTGACGGTCCACAGCTGGCTGACGGTCCACAGCTGGCCTGTCCTTCAGTAATGAGACGCGCACAGGAACAAAGTCTGAGCTGGACACACGGGGCAGTAACATCACAGCTAATAATGTCAACACTTTTGTGAAAGAACATTAGCAGTGTGGTTTTAATGCTTTCATACAAACCAGTAGGGTGTAAGGTCTACTGTAGCGAGCCTCTGCACTGAGCCCCACTGTGGACACGCGGCACATTACCACTGCTGCTTAGTTCCACGTCACAGCCTGTTGGAGTCATTAGTGTCCAGGATCAGACCGTTTTAAGTGGCTGAACCTGGACCATGAAACAGTGGTCTGTGTGGGGACGTTAAAGAAACAACGGCTCGTTGGCAGAACGGCTTGTCCCCTTGTAGACCGGTGCTCCCCCCAGTGGGCCACACCCCACAGTTTGTTCTAGGGTTCCCTGTGTTCATGTGGATGTTACACCGACATTAATGACTAGGGATGGGTATCGTTTAGGTTTTATCCGATACCGGTGCCAAATCAGTACTTCTGAAACGGTGCCGGTGCTTAAAGAATGGAGAACACAAAATTGGTCCAAAAACCTCTCATGTTCAGCTGGTTTTTTGTAAAAAGATAACAATGTTAGCCTTTTCTGCAGCTATGGGGCATATATGGTATCACTCTTGGCTGGAAGCAGTGCTTAAACAATGGAAAAAACATAAACTTTGTCCAAAAACCTCTCATGTTTAGCTGTTTTCCACTTTTTCTTTTGTCATTTTAGCCTTTTTGGCCAGGGTGAAGGGAGTATCTGGCATCAAACAAGAAGACAGCCGCATGTAGCTATGATGGTGTTTGCTAGTTCACCTTACATGCATTAATGTAATAACGTGGTTAGTCTACTCAACGTAAATTACACTCGAACAACATTAAGCGACTCACACAGAGGAACGGCTGCTGCTGCATCATCATCATCCTCATCATTTCTGCTACACTGGCAGGGCTAGGGGCCAGGACTCTATTCTTCGGGTTTTTGGGGGATGTTGCTCCGGGTCCGATAACTGGCAACCCACCCGACGTGCACGGTGTGAGGTCTCGCAGCAAGCTATCAAATACGGCGCATTTCTGGGCTTTTAAAAAAAGCGCTATGCGTCGCCAGGTGTTTCATCGGATTTGAGGTGTTACCTCCTTTGACAGTATCACAGTATCAGCTTAAAGCACTTGTTGCTGCTGAGTTTGCATCTTTTGCTGTGAAGTACAGCCAGACTTTTTGCCTTGGACATTTTTAATCTGTAGCTCTGCTCTAAAAGAACGTACGTACCTGGCCCCGCCTACTATCCTCGGAAACGTAAAATGATTGGCTAGAAGTGTATCACAGCTCAGGAAAAAAAAGCACCGAAATGTGCGCTGCTTTTCGGTCTGGTTACTACCGTTTATGTCAGAACCGGTGCCATCATGGCACCGGACACTGGTACCCATCCCTATTAATGACACTGCTAGCCAGTTAGCTTTTTAAAACGGGCGTAAATATTCCATTCAAACCCTTCAAGTGCTCAATTTCAGTCTCACATTAGTTGAATTATTTGAAAGAGGCGAGACTACAAAAGGTCAGATAACAGACCTGACCTGACGGCTGCCTGTGTTGCAGCAGAAATCTTCCATAGAGTCAATCAGTCTAATCAGATGAAGTCAAAATACACCTTTATGGGTATTGGACACAATGTTGCAGATTATTAGGTAATCATGTAAATTACTGACATATGAGTAATTTGAAGTCTCGTATAGTTATTGATATGTATTATTGATCAATAATGGGTGGTGGCTGTAGCTCAGGAGGTAGAGCAGGTCACCTACTGATCAGAAGGTTGGAGGTTCGATCCCAGGCTCCTCCACTCTGCATGCCAAATATCCTTGGGCAAGATACTAACCCCAATTTGCTCTCCGATGTATGAATGTGTGTGAGTGTAGTTAGAAAGCACTCAGTACAGAGGTAGTGCTTGTGAGAATGGGAGTGACTGGGTGAATGAGGCATGTTGTATAGAGCGCTTTGAGTACTCCGGGAGAGTAGAAAAGTGCTGTATAAGAATCAGCCCATTTACCATCAATAATAGTAATTGTGTACGCGTGCAGGGCGAGCTGTTATCTTTGTCTCTCACTAACAGGAAACTGGTTCACTGTGTTTGGCAGGAGGAGGAGTTCAACTGGCTGCTTAAAGAAGAAGTGCACGCTGTCTTAAAGCAGCTCCAAGATGTTCTCAAGGTAAACGATGAGCTTTCATGTGTTAGAAATAGTTGCATAATTACGTGGCTGAAATGATACATGAGCTTTACCCATGGAGCTCTTTGCTGGTCACGGTAAGTCTTTGCCAGGCTGACAGCATCTGGCAGGTCACTATGACAGAGCGCTGCTGTTTTAACTGAAAGGCTGGGCAAACACAAGTGTCCTCAGCACCATAAATACACAGTCCTCTAACAGGACTCCACAGCAGAGCAGGAAGAAGCTCTCAGGTCGTTTCAGCACATGAAGAAGTCTCTGCTGTGTTCTTGTCACCAGGAGGCATCCAGACGTTTCTCCATGCCGACACCAGGCTTTGAAAATCAGCTGAAGCAGGAGAACTTCATCCTTGGCAGCTCAACGTAAATGCAGCTCACACTGCCGTACTGTTACCGTGGTAATCATTTGTGACATCACGTTACATGTAGCGCTGTCGGCATTATACGTGATAGGGTCACCTTTCACATCCACTTCCTTCTGTATTTGTTGTCCTGTGATGATTCCAAAGGTAAAAATGTGACTTTTTCCAGCAGCATGGATCAGGTGAAGGGCGTGCTGACTCTGCAGGGGGAGGTGCTGACTCAGGCTGTGAGTGTATGACGTTCTCACCAAGGCTTTTAACGACACTGCTTTAGGCTGAGCATCTTTAATGTTTGACTCTGTCTCAACAGGATATCAACCTGAAGGTTGCAAAGAGCAGCCAAGTGTTGCACTTCCAGTTTAGAGAAGACAAACAGTGGAAACTGCAACAGGTATAGAAAACAGCGCTGCACTTAATACAACACGTAGCTGCTTCTCTGACTTTACAGCTACAGAAGTTTGAGGATGAAACCTTAGAAAACAACGAGAGAGAAGGCAGCTCCTCAGCTCCCCGGTATAACGCTCACCATGAAGCAGCTAACGTGCACAACGTGGTTCACACAGAGCAAAGCAGCAATCTCTTACTGTTTGTCAGAGTGCAGCCAGGCTGAGGCAGAGCGATGTTAGGTCAGATATTAACTACCAATGAAACCAGTCTCACGGCGTTAACGGTCACTGTAACGTTTGTGTGGGCCCTCTGCTAGCACGCGTGTAGTGTGACATCACAGAAGTATTACCTGATGCATCCATGTAACTATAAGACTGTCAGCATGTGTCTGTTCAGAGTTTAATGACAAACGTGAGCAGGACTGTGGTCAGAGGGGCGGGGCCTCTGACCAGGGAGGCCTGACCACATCACAACCAGCGAGCTTCTAACATGACTTTGAATTGAATCAACACTTTGCATTAATTATACCAAACACAGTTTGACATTCAGAGCATTATGAAAATATCACTGAGCCCAAAGCAGCCGAGCTGTGGGCAGGTGTGGGTGGAGGCAGACGCCTCGGTCTACTTTGGAAACGTGACACTGGTCACATGTTGTTCTCATGTTAGGGACATGTTATGCCACGAGCTGAAAACAAAGCAGCAGATTCTTTCACATGTCTGATGTTTGGTAACATCCAGGAGGGGACAGTGGATCCAGTTCTCCTCTCTACATGTTGGTCCCACAGCCAAAGCACTACGTTTGTCTTAATGTCTGAGCTCTGCAGTGATGGAAAGACCCCAAGCAGCACATTGTTTGTAGTTAGGAATAATATCTTTGTCATTGTGAGGCCGTGTTTATTTATTGAAGTTCTCTGTACAGACTTTACCAGTTATTCAGGTCCTGCTTTCATTTGCATGATTATGTTGTCAAACAGAAGATTGCTCCTCTCTGTAGTAGCTCATGGAAAAACCAAGCTGTTAAACATGTTCACAGTTAAAGCTTTACTTATTATCCGTATGAGTAGCTGCACCTGATGACTTACAGGCGACGGTCTGTAAGTCATCAGCTAGTCTATGGCGTTATTTTTGTGCCACTATTCTGAGCGCACGTAAAAAAGGTTTGCAGGTGTAAGTGTTGCATTTTGAGGAGTGAAGAAAATTCATTGCTGCGTGCAGAAAATATATTTCAGCGTTTGCTGTTATCCACACACACACAACAGCAGCCCCTCTCGCTCGCTCAGTTTTTGCACTTGCGCTTGTTCGCAATGTGTTGCTCGCGCTCTCAACATTTCAAACTCCGCCCCTCTGTGTTCCTCCGCCACTGCCTCGTTTGAGTTTTGGACGAAATGGATTCTGGGATATTGCATTTCGTCATTTCGAGCTGATTGGAGACCAAAACAGCCAATCAGATATTTTTGCATCCAAGTCTGTGATTGGCTGGTTTTGTGGCACAAATATAACAGTGTACAGAAAGAGTTGAGCGCACACGGGCAAAAATGTTGAGAGCGCGAGCGACACATTGCGAGCAAGCGCAAGTACAAAAACTGAGCGAGCGAGAGGGGCTGCTGGTGTGTGTGTGTGTGTGTGTGTGTGTGTGTGTGTGTGTGTGTGTGTGTGTGTGTGTGTGTGGTGTGTGTGTGTGTGTGTGTGTGTGTGTGTGTGTGTGTGTGTGTGTGTGTGGATAACAGCAAACGCTGAAATACATTTTCTGCACGCAGCAATGAATTTTCTTCGCTCAAAATAAATTTCTCCTCAAAATGCAACACTTACACCTGCAAACCTTTTTTACGTGCGCTCAGAATAGTGGCACAAAAATAACGCCATACTAATCTAGCTTTTAAAAGTGAATGCAATGAAGCCGAGAGGTGATGCTGGACAGTTTTCTTCAGGAACTTGTGTTAACATATGACCCCCACCCTTCACTGGTCCTCGTTTCTGTGGCCCATCAGATCCAAGATGCCAGGAACCACGTGAACCAGGCTCTGCAGCTGCTGAGCAGCCGTGACGAGAGCTACCACTTCAAGTCTGGGGCTGAGGTCAACAAGGTGTGTCCCTGTTAGCACAGAGCTGCCACTCTGCTGATGCTGCTGATACTAACATCACGTTTGTGTTCATGCTGCAGCTCATGGATGGAGTGATGCTGCAGCTTACACGAGCTCGAAACCGCCTCACTACCCCGGCCTCCATGACGCTGCCTGAGCTGGCTGCCAGCGGTTTGATGGTAAACACGCTGCACTCAATGATCTTACTGAAGAATAACTGTGTAAAGATGCAGGTTTTAAAGAAAACATGACAGCAAGTTTAGTCAAATCAGGTTCCTCGTGAGAGCAGGGTTTCTCAGGAAGCTGTCCTCCTGTAGGTCAGTGCAGTGTAAACTGTTCCAGCCCTCTGACTCTGGGGGGAGGCTCCCGCTGACAGACGAGGGCGATCTATGGCATCAAAAGCAGTGCTGAAGTGGAACAGTCGCAGTGAGTCATAGTTAGGTCCTGTAAAAAGCCCAGTCTCAGTGCTGGGCTCTGAATCCACAACTGTTCTGTGAAACCAGCGCCCGCAGTCTGGGTTGGCGTTGACTAACCTCGGTCGACACTCACAGGATCAGAGATGAACTTCAGGTAACCTGTAGGAGCTATTTACACCTTTGCTGTCCACACTTTAGACCTGTGTAATGCAGGATATGTTATTAGAGCCACGTGGCAGTAGCCACATCAAATATTACTCGTTATATCGTTACCCAATGAACCTGCTCGGAGCCCATGCTGCTCTGATGTTAGAGGAGAAAGGTTGGAGAAGCACTCATGGAGGTGGTGTGGGTGGAAATAAACTCCACCAGGGCAGAAATACACCAAAGCAATCTGCAGGTGTTCCTGGCTCTGATGATGAATTTTAAAGCAGGACTTGATGAGCTCTGAGTGCTGGCTCAGTGAAGTCACTGCAGAGAAACCCAGCAGAGTAATACTGCTGAAGGTTAAACCTTCCTGTGATGTTTCAGCCTGACTGCCTCACACCGGCCTCTCTTGTTTGATCACCAGAAAATGTTCTCTCCTCCCATACCCGGGGATGTCATGGTCAACTTTTACATCAACTTAAGCAAACTGTGTCTGACTGTGTACCAGCTCCACGTGCTGCCTGCTAACACCACCAAGGTTAGACTCTGTGACACCGTGCACCTGTCTGTGGAGCCGCCCTCTGTCATGTGACCAGTGTTTGTGATCCTTCTCATATCTGCAGAATTTCAAGCCTGCTGGGAGCTCAGTGCTGCACAGCCCTGGAGCGATGTTGTAAGTCCTTCAGTCCTCTGATGAAGCTTGAACATGTTGTAGGAGGTGAAACGTTTACACAAAGAGCCATCAGTGTCATTGCAACTATTCCTGTACATGCTTATTATTAGAAAACCACATATTTCCATTACCAGATGATACAGCCTTATTCTGTTGTGTAATATTACTGAAACCTGGCTCTATGAGTAATATTTAAATATGACTGTGGCCAAATGGCCTCTTACTCAACAGCTGGGCTCCTGCCCCATGATGCTGGCTTGGATGGAAACTGATTTACTATCTAGTTACTGGTAACACACAGTAGTGCTAAAGTGTACATGGTGGACAGTATCTAAGCTCTCTTTACATTTTGCTAACACAGTGAGCTCAACAACAACCGGTTTGAGGTGAGCCATGTTCACAAAGTGGAGTGTGTGGTACCTTGGCTGAGCGACACGCTGGTGTTCTTCACCATATCCCTGCAGCTCTGTCAGCAGCTGAAGGACAAGGTCAGTCCCTCAAACACTCGCACATTATTAATCATGACGTGAGAGACGTGGAGGAGATGGAGCATTCATTCTGGGAGCACGTGCTGTCTGTTCGGCAGTGTTTGGAAGGTTACTTTTAAAATGAACTGTTACTCGCCACACCAACACCAGCTAGATGTTAAAATCTTCATATAAATGAGTAACAGTAGGTGGACATTAGGTAAGGCTGCACTTTTTTTGCAGCGATCTCATATAGAAAACTATCCCACGCGTATATAAAACAGGTCTGCGGCTCCGAACCGTAGTAAAGGGACCTCTGGCTGATACGTCGGGTTCGTGTCAGGCTCGTAGCTGAAAAATAGCTTTACTTTGTTGTGTGGGTCAAGTTTGCAGTGAGAGACAGAGAGAGGCGTTGAAAGGCTGCTCCAACAGAACTTATTGTTTCAGAGGAAAACAGGAACACAGCGTACAGTCGAGTCTTAACAGCTTACTTACAGCTGGGCTCGTCAGGCTCTCTGTTTGGCTGCAGTGGTTATTATTATATTTACATGCTTCCAGCTCCCGTTTCTGCTCCGTGACAGCTCCTACTGTAACACCTGTACTGATTTTTCTGTGCCAGCATGACACCAATGTGACTAAAAATGTTCAAACATGTAAATGAAATATGAACATTTACTCTGAAAACTGAATTAAAAGCTAAAACTGAAATAAAAACAGAAACTAATTAGAAAATATGAACTTTTAGTAACACCACCATTCAGTGTAGCGAGGCTTAGCCTAACCCCTGATGCTGATGGTTCTGGAGCTTTCATGGGGGGCGGGGGGTCTTTTTGTCACGCTTAAGTGTTTCGGATCAAACATACAAAAAGTCAGTTATGATGAAGGGCACGAACACGTCTCCACACCGCTGTAACTAACCTGGGGTGAACCGAGACGTTAGCCAGGGTCACGTGACAGCTGTATGAGCAACGTTGGATAACAAAGACTTTGGGTTTGTTTCATTTACTTTAGAGAAGCAGCCTGAGTCTTTACTGTGGGAACAGCTCGGGATCAAAGAGCTCTGGCTTAAATGATCACAGCACGGTTTGCCTAAACGTGTTTCTACAGTGGCGTGAAGTATTTGACCGTTTGGCAGTTTGTTTCATAAAGTGACCTTTCCTTTTGGTCTAGACAGTTCTTTGTTTTTCACCATTAAATCTGTTACAGTGAGCAGAAAGTGAAAGGAAGTGAAAACTGTTTCATCTTTGACTGAATCCCAGCTGCTTCCTTCCCTGCAGATCTCGGTTTTCTCCAGTTTCTGGAACTACAGACCTTTTTAATCCTGCAGCCCGTCATCCTCCAGGCTCCGCTCGGACTCGCACTTAGCACTCTGTTGTAAAGGAAGTGTTCATTATTTTAGCTATTTGAAATGCAGTGTGATGTCAGAGCGCTAAAGCTCCGCCCCCAGTGATGTTAGCCCAGATAGCAGACAGTCCCGTCAGTGCGTCTCAGTACTGCCGTGTGGATTCATGTCATTTGGTTCCCTTTAATAGAATTATTTATTACCCACACTCACATTCCTGATTGTGTTTGAGTTGTTTTGTAGAACACTAATTTTGTACTAAAAGTACGTTTCTTGTACTTGTTCTGTCCCAGCATGGTGATCGCTTTGAAAGCTTCCTCGTAGTAAAGTCCTGCCCTACTACTGTGGTACTGGTACTGTGGTACTGGTACTGTAGTACTGTGGTACCGTAGTACTGTAGTACTGGTACACAGGTGGACACCACAAGCCTGTGACTGTGTAAAATGCTCAGAGTCAAACAGTCTGCTGCCACTAACAGCATCATCTATTCACTCTGCTGCATAGCATTAACCTCACATGCAGCAGCAGTGCTGCGTGACAGTGCCTGTGCATTACTGTTATGATGCACATGGAAAAGGCAGTTTCAGTGGCTGCCAAGCGCATCATGTTGGAGTGGGAACAGGAGGAGGAATCTGTGATGAAGGTAACAGTTTTCTGTATTTTTGATGGGACCAAGAACGTAAACAAAGGAGGAAGGTCTTTGAAGAAGCTCCTGTTCCGTTTCTCCTGCCGTAGCACCTTTCTAATCTTCCCACAGGAAACAAACCTGCTCCACAGTACGTCGAGGACGGGGCTCTGCTGGAGGCTGTCATCACTGTACCAGGTCGTTTGGGGTGTAATGAGTGGCAGTTTGGACATAGATGTCAGCTGCTCAGCTCATTTTACCTGTCACTAGCTGATTGGCTGACCTGTGTATGTAGATACTGAGATGCTTCTTCACAGAGCTGAGCTCTAATTGATCCTGTTTCCAGTTTTATAAGGTGCACAATCAACAGAGGAAGTGTTGCTCTAGCTCAGCCTCTTCCTCCGAATTATTCCCTCATTCAGTATGTGGGTGTGTGGGACACAGTAAGAATCAAACGTTGTTGTAATGGGTAAAACATCTGTTAGGAGTGATATCACGAACATGCCACAGTCTCCCCCTGTGGTCTGCTTTACAGAGAACCACGCACGGCGTATATTTACACGTGTCATGGCTCCTCCAGTCTGCTTTGGTTCAGATTGTCGCGCAGTCCTGATGTGCTGTGTTTGTCTGCTTCTGCACACCGGCCTGAGCTCAGTACAGATGGCAGCACGTTTGTTTCAGAACAGCAGAAGCTGTAAGAAAACCCGACGAGCAGGATGAGCAGAAACACATTTGTGCAAACTGATGAACACAAACGTGGCTGGAGCAGGGCCCTTCATCCCTCGACCTCACATTCCCTCTTTGTTACTACATGGATTTATTTAAATAAGCTACCTGTGACATCATCTGTTGCTGTTTGTATTCGTCTCGTGTTGATTTTCTTTGAACCAAATACTATTGTAGACATGAACAAATGACTTCTTTCCACTAAGTATTAATGTATTTAAAGATGCCTGTCATGTAAAATGTGGAATGTGTGCAATTAAACTTTCGTCCTGATGAACTCTCTTTGGTGATCTGAAGATGCATGTAATAAAAAAGTCATCACTGAACTTCATTTGTATTATTGGAAATGCAGTGCCACATTGTATTTGTCACATTTCAGGTTGTCAGATTTAATATTAGACAAAGATTCATGCAAAATTCATTTTTGTAATGATGTCCTACATTAGGGGGGGAAAGAGATCCAAACCTACCCGACCCGGTTTGTTTGTTTGTGGTAACACCAGCTGCACCTGATTTGCAATCAGAATTCTGAAACATCCATCAGTTTGTTCCATGAAGCTCAAGTTCATGTACTTGGTTATACAGCAGCACAGTGAGATGAAACACCAGGACCTTTACTTCTGAAAGGCTCAAAACAGACAAAATGATATTGGAGTTGTGCAGTCAAAATCCAGTTGTGATGCCTTGTCATTGCCAAGAATAAATGCTGAGGGAAGCAACAATGGTTGCTGACTGAAGTAGTCGCACTCGAACGTCAAGGAAGGTGGAAGGAAAGCAGATTACGCAGACATGTCAGGTTTCCAGAGGTGAGCAATTTATTTACAGTGAGCTTAATTTAATGTGTAACTTAACAAAACTTCCCCCCAAATCAAGTCACTTAACAACCCTCACCATGGCTCTGGTGACACAGCTCACCTCTGCTCTCTGCTGCATCTGGTAGAGACTGGCTTTAAATAGGGCCATCAATTTCCCTCCAATTGCCCAGCCAGTACCACTCACTCAACTGAGGGATCTAAAACTACACAGATGATCTAAAAACACAAAACCTCTACACACTTCTAACATGCACATTTACACAACTAAATGGCAGTATTAACGAAAAGAAACACATTCAACAAATCCCTTTAAACCTTAACACAAACAAAAGGAAGCATCTCTATGGACAAAGAAACCCCTCCACTTGGTTTGACCTGCTGATGTCATGTGTGACATCATCAGGACTTTAAAATGAGGAAATGCCAGGTGGGCGTTTCCCCACACCTGACCCTCATGAAGACTGAAAAGACAAAGTATGAACGAATTACTTAATGTGTAACATAATAAAGTATAAAGAAACATGTACTTGAGTATTTGTCTTAATTTGCAGAATGTTTGATTTGCCGGCAACAAAACGCTTCCACAAACAAACCCGGGATAGTGAGTGAAGCAACGTTACATGACAAACAGCAAATCATAGCAAATACATAGAAACAGAATAATGTGCAAAAAAAAAAAAGGTAAACACATGTGGGACAAATGGAGAGCATTGCAACTGCTCCTCCACTTTGTCACACTGACCAGGAAAAAACAAAGCGAGCAACTTGTGTAAATCAAGGTAAAAAAAACTGTTTCCCCTCCTCGTCAACACTGACGAACCATCGAGGTCTGCAGAATGATCTGACCAATGGCTCAGACGGTTCAGAGTCTCTGAGGTCATAGTGCTGCCGGGACTGCCCTTGACCACCAGCACTGTCGGTGTCAGCGCTGGAACACGACCATGAGGAAGACCTTGATATAGTTTGGGGCAGAGGTGGGACCAAGTCATTGTTTTGCAAGTCTCGAGTAAGTCTCAAGTCTTTATCCTCAAGTCTCAAGTCAAGTCTCAAGTAATGTCAGGCAAGTCAGAGTTGAGTCTCAAGTCACTGGTGTAAAAGTCCGAGTCAAGTCACAAGTCTGAAACTTTGAATTTCAAGTCCTTTCGAGTCTTTAAAAAAAAAAATGAAAAAATAATGTTGCAGTTATGCTAAATGTAAATATTAGACCATGTAATTTTAAAATCTGTTTTTCTCAACACATGACAAAATAGTGAACTTAGAAAATATACACAAATTGTGAAATTGCACCTCTTTAAAATGCAGCTCAATTAAACCTAGCTCCAAGAATAATTTTCACCGACAGTTCTGAGATAAGCTGCATGTTATTCTTGGATGCGGTTGTAGGACCGGCTTTAAAATCGCATGACAAAAATATCATACACATTAAAAAAAACTGCATCACCAACGTAGCCTGGACAACATTTGCTAGTTAGATGAAGTCAGCTATCTCATCTTAGCATATTTATATGCATATTTATAATCATACGGTTCTTGGAGTGAGTGCATACACTCATGAAGTTTAGTAACTTCAGGTCACTGCAACAAGCCCAGGTACAGTTTACCGACGGATGGGTACAGGACCTTGAAATGCACCGTGTAGAACGAAAAACCATCGTACGTATCATAAGTTTACCAGTCTCACAAATCGTCTTCATAAATACACATTCGTTAACAGTTTATTAATAGGACCTTTGAGCTCAACGGTAATTAATTAGTAGTGGAAATAATTTCTGGTAGCATCACAGAAATGTAGCAGTGACAATAATATTGTATGCTGTAATCGTACTGGGCAATTAGTGATACAAAAAACCTGTTTTATCCTGTGAATAAAAGTATATGTTTTTGTCAGTGTACCATAATAACAGAAGCGAAACACAATATTGTGTCAGGACAATTCACTATTTATGCACAATAAACAAAGGAGCATAGCGCGACAATTTCTGTTCAGCGCCAGACTTGCTTGTAACCTATATCACCAATTATGTTATGAAAATGACGCATTAACTACAACAGCAGACTGACCTTTGTGTAAATGCTTGGAGCAGACTAACCTGTGAGCTGGAGAGTTCTGGGACGTTATATTTGCTCTTTGAATGGCTGCAATCCAGGCCATCCGTCGCGTCTTTGTTACTTCGGAAACATGGCTCGAACAATTTCTCTTCCACGACGTAATCCGATAACAACCGATCTCTTTACCCGTCGGCTTCCCGTGGCTGTCATGCGACCGGCTATTGCAGTTAATAATACAACAGCTTCTTGACATTTTTGTGTTTCTTTTTATCGCTGTATAACTGATTTTAATTGAAAGCCTGCGTGCGCTGGTACCTCTTGCCACGAGTTCCCAGAATCCTTTGCGGTTCTACCCGTGAATGACGTCACATTTTCAATCTCCATATAATATGCATGTTAAATTTTATATTTGGGGTAAAATATCAAGTCTTTTCAAGTAAACCGGTTCAAGTCCAATTCAAGTCCCAAGTCATTGGTGTAAAAGTCCAAGTCAAGTCACAAGTCTTAGAACATTTTTTCAAGTCAAGTCTAAAGTCATAAAATTAATGACTCGAGTCTGACTCGAGTCCAAGTCATGTGACTCGAGTCCACACCTCTGGTTTGGGGCACCATCTTTCTCACTAGAAGAAGCAAGACTTGTCATCACTGCAGTCTCAATACTGAGAGATATTGAGATGAGATACTGCAACCACTGGCACGCCCATATTTTCATATTCTGAGACCGAACTCTATATTGCTCGTTCCCATAGAGCAGGGTTTATCAGAGCTTACCTCCAAAATATGGGAATGGACTGTCTGCAGTCCTCACACTTGCTTCAGATGTTATCAGTCCATTCATTGGACATTATTGGTTGTAATCAGCCCCACAGATAGGAGCCAGGAGAGGCCCTCTACCCCTGCTAATCGCTCAGGTTTGTTATCCATTCACACAGAGGGCCACAAAGAAAAGGACGGGAACAGCCCAGAATCCATTTTCCTGACTTCATGCAAATAAGGCAGTGCTACCAGGTAAAAGGATTGAAATGGACAGCAGTGATTTTAATGAGTGAGTTAATGTGGTGTTGATATACCAGCTTTGACATGTATTTGTAGACGTTATGTTTTCCACTGTCTTTGTGATGCTAGCTTAAAGTTACTGTGAAAGGTTCATGTATACTGTGGTTGGTACGTCTTCGTCTTGGCTGTAGCGTTCTATTGTTTCTATTTCTGTTTTCTCTAACTGTTATTACTGTAATGAGGGTCTAACAAACAATTGATCTAATTGATCTCATTATCATTTGTTTATTTACAATTAAGTGCTTCCAACTTCTAGTCACAGTTTATAGGTTGCTCCTAGTTTTTAGCTTCTACTCGTGCTTATTATGGCTTCATTTTGTGCTTATGTCATTGCCTAATTTACACAGTTAAATGGTTCTGTATAAGAAATATTCTTGACAAATCCAGAAAACAAAAGGCTCGGTGATGTCAGACATGACATCATCAGCACTTTAAAAGTCAGGAAATGCTGGATGTCTCCTACACCTGACCTCCGTTTAGTAGGATGAAGGACGAGCTCAGAGCAAAGTAATAATAGTAAGCTTAACCCTTAAACAAGAAGCAAACATTTAAACCTGAAACATAATAAAACAAGATATGACTGTGTACTGCTTTAATCTGCTGTTTTTTATTTAACTGCAACATAACACTAAAGCATCCCATGTCCCAATTGCCAGTCTTGGTAGCCGGGGTTCGGTCCACGTGGGTGGCTGGCCTCTCCCTTGGAGATAGGGTGAGAAGTTCGGCCATTCGGGAGGGGCTCAGAGTAGTAGTATCCTTGGGCAAGATACTAACCCTAAGTTGTTCTTCGATGCATCCATTGGAGTGTGAATGTAGTTAGAAAGCACTATGTATGGAGAAAGTGCTTGTGAGAATGGGTGAATGTTGTATGGAGAGTAGAAAAGCGCTAAATAAGAATCAGAGTCTATAACTGCTCACAGACTGGCTGTCAGGAAGCCGTTCGAACGCAAGCAAAACCGGGACACAATACAGAGCTATGCACAAGACGTAGACTACAAATTTATTTATTGAGCACTGTTCATAGATTAAAATCACAAAGTGTTGCACAATAAAACCAAAAATATTAATAAAATATTGACATGAAACAATGAAAACATTAATTAAAGCTTGTTTGTATAGAAATGGTGCCTGAGAGACCAATCCCCACGGGGACCAACAGTAGCCTCGGACACGAAGACCTGAGTGCTCGGGATGAAGCACGAGGTTTCAGGGATAAACTGACCAGAGCTTCACCATGTAGAGCTCAACAAGTTCAAACTGAAATTTTAAAATGAAACCTAAAATTTACTGGCAACCAATGAAGAGAAGCCAAAACTGGAGTAATATGTGGCCTCCTATTGGTGCTGCAGTGTTCTGTCTGAAGGCTCCAACGCTGATTTGTAGAAACCAGTAAAAAGACCACTGGAGTAATCCAAACGAGAAGAAATAACAGCATGAAGAATCATCCCCGGCTCAGCCTTTGACACCAGCAGCCTGACCTTAGAAATGTTTCTCATGTGATTAAAACACTTCTGAACCAGTTTGGAGACATTGAACTGTCGCTATGACGCCCAAATTTCTGAGACTCGATTGAACGGACGAGTCTAAAACACTGATGCGCTGCTTGATAACTCCAAATGATCATCATCATCATGTATGGAGGTGATTATGACAGTGAGTATCTGTTGTGTGCCCACCTTATTACTAAATTAGGCAGAGCACTCTGAATTGAATCAGGACATAAAGCACGCTCTTTATGTTGCTTTATTGAACACTCTTCATCTTACAACTAGCCACTTAACGGGGCTTCCTTCGGACAACAACATCCGGTTCAAAGGTCATCACCTTAAGACATAGCCATATCAGTACATATCTTCAACCATCTTTAAAAATGGTAGAGGGATGGTTTGGGCTGCGTGTCAGGCAGTGCTGGTGGGAATCTTGTGAAGGGAAAAAGATGCCATCTAAAAGCATGCAGTGGGAACTATGGAAGAAATTACAAGAAAGCTTGATTAGGAGAGTTCAGGCTGCACTGAACTCTGGTGATATCAGCTACTGACTTTGTTAGAACTGTAAAAACTCAGCTTTCATACTGTATGTCTCTGTGTCAGAGATGTCAATAAATCACTGCACCTATTTCCATGTTTCCTGTCAAAACATAAAGAAAAGAAGACTTTTGCTCTGTACTCTGCTTTATTTGAAATGAATGGAAGAACAAAACAAAATGCTTCCAGTGGAAGGATGGCTTTGACACTGGGAAAGTATTTATGGTCTGTATCGGGCTTGCCTGTCCATATGGAGCAAAAACAGCTCTGCATCATACACTCAGGCTCCTGACATCTTTCTGCATTAGGAAACCTAATCACAGTTTATAGACAAGTCAGTGTCATTTTAGTGACAGTACCAGGTTGTTTCACAGCAGAAGTCAGCCATGTTTAGGGAAGGTCTCGTCCCTTCAGACCTCCACATTTTTATTTTCAGTACATCCAAATAAATGCAGTAGGACAGTAGTTTATCACTGAAGTCAATCAAAAGCCAACAGATAGTTGGCCTGCTCGAGGAAACCTTACTTTCTGGGTTACGTTTCATGCTGGTACTGTGGAGATCTGACTGTGGACCTATTTCACATATGCAGCCCTTGGACAGTGTCCAGGTACGTTTAAAAAGAGAGTAACAGTGAGACGAAGCCAAAGAAAGTGAATATAACAACCCACAAATAGTGTTTAGGTCGTTATATCTTTACAGAACTATTTTTTACTGAAGAAGTACCAAAACCCTGCATCATTTATTCCACCGTCGCTGGAAATCTAGTCAGCATGTAGAGGAACCTGTTTGTTTTCTATCAGACTAAATGTGTCTCTGTGTTTATGATACACTGGACGCTTTCTTATGATAAATAATGGATTTCTGTGTCCAACTAAAGAGAGACCCTTCACTGATGACGATGACGTAAACAGACAGACGTTCACAGCGCTATATACTGCCCCCTCATGGTCATCTTACAAGCAGCGTACACTATGGTTTTATATCTTCACAAATATTTTATATTTTTTATTAAGATTTGCATGTTGTGTTGTTGTTTTTTGAAACTATGGACGTAGCGTCTGTCAATAAAGATAGATAGATAGATAGATAGATAGATAGATAGATAGATAGATAGATAGATAGATAGATAGATAGATAGATAGATAGATTGATTGATTGATTGCTGACAGCAGCATCTTCAAACATCACCACACATCATACTGAAGTCATTCATGCAGTTTGTAGGAAACAGGCCGCTGTGTTCATTTCACAGGCGGAGGTCACGTGTTTACCTGTACATAGAGTCGCCATTGTTGTTGTTGTTTATTTGTTTGCTGTTTCTACGACGGCGTGCGCACACTGCTGCACTCGGCCTGTCATGAGTGTGTTTTAAACGTCACACAGTGATATCTGATCATGTGTAAACGGCTGGTTAGTGTGTGTTAAACTCATAATGCGCACACACACATAAGATGAGCGAACTCGAGGATGTTTCGCTTGGTTCACGGGACAGCGACGCCCACGGAAATGACAGCAGCGTGACCAGTTCCGCTGCTGTCGCTTACGTGGAGACAGGAAGTGTCTTCCGTTGGTTTCCGGATCGGAGTCTCGGTTGATGTTGTTGTGTGTCTACGATGGCCCAGGACGCGCTTTCTCTCCGGGTGTCGGAGATCAGCGACCCGGCGCTTCTCTTTGAGTGCTATAACACTGAGGAGATCCGCGGAATCGAGCGCAAAGTCCGCGGGGAGATCGAGCAGAAGAGGGAGGAGCTGAGGCAGATGGTGGGCGAGCGGTACCGGGACCTGATCGACGCCGCCGACACGATCGGGGAGATGAAGCAGTGCTCGGAGAGCGTCGTGCAGTCCATCCAGGACATGCAGCAGTACTGCCACAGGCTGAAGCAGGGCAGAGCCAGCGTGGCCAGCTGCAGAGTGGAGGTGAGCCAAACGCCGTGTGTCGACGCATGCGCCTTAGTAGTACTTTACAACGTCATGAAGATCTACCGTAACCTCACCTACAAACGCGGCAGACTCGCAGCTGCTCAGGAAAGGTGAGGCTGCTGAACCACCTGAACACAGCTTCGTCACAGAGCAGTGTGTGGTTCATTCCAGCCTGTTCAACACCGCTGCTACATGCAGCACACAAGCACCATCAGGCAGAACAGAAGGATGCAGACACACAACAGTGCAGAAGTGACCTGGTGTGTGTGTGTGTGTGTGTGTGTGTGTGTGTGTCTGTCCAGTCACTGAGTGTTCAGGAGTGTGATGGCCTGGGGGAAGAAACTATTCTGTAGTCTGGCAGTGAGTGTGTGTCTGTGGGGTGTGTGGTCCTCCACGATGCTGGTGGCTTTGCAGTGTGATAAGTGTCTGTGATGGAGGGAAGAGCGGCTCCAGTGATCTTCCCAGCTGTTCTCACGATCCACTGTACTGCGGTGCAGTTACCATACAGACAGTGAGGCAGCTGCTCAGGAGAAAAGGCTTCAGAGACTTCCAGCTGTTTATTGTCATTGTGCAGTTTCTGGACCACAAAGGTGCTGAAGTAAGAAGAAGAGAAACCAATATACAACGAAGGTGGAAAATAAATAAATAAATAGAATAAAATAAAAAGCAGTGTGTATGTATAGATATGTGAGTGGAACTATATACATGGTGTATGTGTAGGAAACACTGAAACAGACTGGGACCAGAATAAGTGCACAGAACATGGAGAGACTGAGATATTGCACACAGATGATCAGCAGCAGTGTCGGGGTGGATGTGTTGGGGAAGTCCTTACACACTCTTCTGGACTTCATCAGTCAAAGTTCAACACTTGGTTGAAATGACGTCTAAACTGCGTGTTTCCTTCTAAAGCTTCTCCTGAGTTAAGAGAACAAACGCTTTCACATGTGCACAAACTGCTTTTGCAGCAACTGTTTGAAGCTGATGACGTTGTGACGGAGACGCACTGTGTGTCCTGTTGCAGAGCCAGACACCGTGGCAGCTAAAGTTCTACACCATGGCCTCCCAGATCAAGCTGCTTTTGGAGATCCCGGAGCGGATTTGGAGTGCCATGGAGGCATCTCACTACCTCCGAGCCACGCAGCTCTACCTGATGTGCTGCCACCTGCACCATCTGCTGCAGCTGGAGGCCACTGCAGCAGGCCTCTACAGCTCCGTCCTTGTCCGATTTCCCATCCTAATCCGACAGGTTGCCACCACCGAACACTTCAGGTTTGTGTCACAATTCCTGCTTAACGGAAACTTGAAATCGAAACTCCGTGGCTGGAAACTAAAATAGTGCACTTGTAGTAGCTGAGAGTAAGCGTCTTCTTGCAGGGCAGCCATTCTGCTGGACAGCAGGGCTCTGCTGAGGGGCCGTGCAGTGTCGGACCAGGCCATCGCTGAAGCCTTGGTGTCCATCATGCTGCTTGAAGACAGCTCTCCTCGGCAGGCTCTGGCTGACTTCTTGTTGGCCCGGAAATCATCCATACATCAGCTGCTGAACCAACCGCAGCATGGTATGCTCTATAGTTTCCTTCTGTGGTAAAGCGTGACAAATGTTTGATTTGATAAAGAAAAAGCCTTCGAGGCTTCTGTTAGTCCATGAACCTGTGCTTTTCTGCAGGTGCAGGGATCAAGTCCCAGGTGTGCAGCCTCGTGGAGCTGCTGGTCACCACTCTGTTTCAGGCCTATGCCATCTTCTACCTCCCCCCAGAGGGCAGCCCCAGGCCAGGGGATGAAGCTTTGAGCTGTGGCATGCTCTTCTCTGTCCTGGACAACGTCACATCTACGAGTCCTGCAGGTAAACAGCTGAGACAGGACACGTCGGGGTCTTTGTGTTCAGGTTAATAAGAATAAGCTTTGCTTCAGAGCAAGAATTTGCTGGCTTTCATCTCCTGGGTGAGCGTGGCCATTGTGTGGATGTCTCCCCGTGCCTCACAGGAACAGCTGACTCTAAACTGTCTGTGGATGTGACGCAGATGCTGAATACAACACTGTATGACTGTATTGTGCGTGTAGTCTGAGCTGCTGTAAGTGTGCAGTAAGAGCACCGCGCCTGTCCGCTCTGAAACACTCAGTCTGAGAAACTAACAGCCCCCTTTTTCCAATGTTCCCCATCTGTGTCCTCAGCTAAGGACAGAAGGGTGTTGCAGGAAGATGTGAGTACAGGCAGCTGGTTAAAGTATCTGCCTGCGTCCATCTCAGAGTTTCAACCTGTCCTTCGCACCCTGGCTCAGCCAATCCAGAGGGAGCACCTGCAAGACACTCTTCAACAGTGGATCGATACGTAAGGCCACTGAATGTCTGCTGTTTCCTTTCTTTCAGTTTCAGTGTTGTTTGCATAGAAAAATGTGCTAATAGTAGCATTCCAGCTCTGCCTCTGTGCTGTCAGGAGTGACTTGTGATCACTTTGAGCTGATAGAAGGGAGCGATCACCCCGAGGCGGAGTCCAGCTCACAGAAGTGGCGGCGGGAGTCCTCGGGGTAGCATACGTGATCCAGCACAGCCTTGCAGACTTCCTTAAAGCTGCCTCCTCGAGCAGCAGAGGGAGCCGACGCGCTGCATTTTATCCTCGGCCACTTACACACCGCTGCAGTGGCCTTAAACATGTCCGGAGATGACTGTGGGTCCTCCACCTGGGGACCAGTGAGGGTGGAGCCATGAACACCGTCATGATCGTTGGCTCAAGGACAAAGTTTTAGGTTTAGACACGAGGAGCAGGAGGGTCAGTGTTTAACGTGGTTCATTACAGGATCATTATCTGCTGATCTTCATTTTAGTTTCAGTTTGTGAGACGATGAGTGGAAGACCAGATGAAGTTTACTGGTTTGGAGTCGTCGACGTGAAAACTGGATCTATCTGTGACCGTGTGATGACTGGCGTCCAGGCAGGTGGTGCTCAGCAGCCGTGTAGGAGAGAACTGCTGACTTACATTCGATCCACTGCAGATGTGTGCACCTCGACTGCTGTGGGACACAATGAAGACCAGTGTCTGTGGTCCAATCACGTCTTACACTGCAGGACAACAAACATGAAGCTCCGACCAGAGACGGAACAAACAACACAAAGATGAGGGAGCGTCTCATCCCACCACCTGTCACATGTGCTCACCACTCGCACATCTATTTATTCACTACTCCTTATTGTTATCGTTATTATTCTCATGTCATGGTCCAGTGTAATTAAATTACTTTTCCACTGAAAAAGTAGAGTAACTGATTACTGTTCATTTTTAGGTATTTTAATTACAGTTACTTACAATGTGCTTGCGTTACATTGTAAAATAATTAAACTGGCTGAACATCGTTATTTAATTTCAATCATTTATCTTCTAAAGGTAGAAGTAAACTCTGCTCTGTAACATGGCTGAGGTGCAGCTGCGCGTCATTCCACACCAGTTTGCTGCACGGTCGTTTTCTACAGCGGAAGCTGTCGGACTGAAGCAGTGGCTGTTTCATGACGTGGACATGTTCCCGCCTCTTCACTTTTCTGAAACAAGCAGACAAGAACATTACAGTGATATGTAAAAACTATGGGCTGCTGTTAACAGCAGCAGTAACCTGCTGAAGCGCCTGACACAGAGCATAGACGAAGACTTCTGAGCGATCCTTCATCATCCATGGATAACACTGCTGAGCAGGACCTGGTTTTACTTCAGCAGCACCGACGGTGACTGCAGGCGACACTGGAAGAGATGCCGCTGCTGCAGAGTCTCCGTCTTTAAAATAATTTATTATTTAAAGAGTTTAATTTCTATTGTTTGCCACTCAAGGTTTTATTGGGATTTTAAGAAGTATTTAGTTAAATTACTTTTCAGACACAGTAATTAGATAAGTATTTTAAATACACTGTTGGTTAAGTAATTAGTAATTAATTACTTAAAGTAACTTACCCACACTGGTTATTTCTGGCCTGTTTGCAAAGCTCACCTTGATGTTATCGAGTGCAGGGCGTGTGTTTCATGAAGGCTACATGATCATTTCCAGTCTCTCCAAATGTGTTGTTTCCAGCTGTAAGGAGGACATCTGCCATGGTGTTGGAAGCCTTTTGGTCTACGTCAAGAGCCTGAAGGGGCTGGCAGCCATCAGAGACGCTGTTTGGGACCTTCTGTCAGCAGACTCCATCAGTCAGCACTGGAGCACCGTCTGTCAGCGTCTGCTGGAGCACCCCCTCACCGTCTGGGAGGACATCTTGCAGCAGCTTTTCCTCCAGCGGCTGCAGGTTGCTGTTCTTCTATCTTTAGCTTTATAGGTTCATTTTCAGGGCCCACTTAGTCTGTATACTTGCTAATGACGGGGGATAAACATGCAGTTATTGTAACACTTTTATTGTTTCTTTCGACTCTTCAAGGTCATCACTAAAGAGGAAACTGAAGCCATCTCAGTGCTGTCTATCCAGCTCCTTACATCCGCCGTCAGGGATCTGCAGACCCAGAGCGTCCATTCGTCTTCAGGTGCCCACAGCAGCCATGGGGCCCAGTATGAGGTAGATGTCTCCTCCTTCTTGTGGTTGGAGTCTCCAGGGGACCTGTTGAACGACGCAGGCTGGTTCAGTGTGAGCCAGCGGGGCCAGCAGCAGCACAGGAGTGGCCTGGCCATGAAGACACAGGCGCTCACACCTTGTGTTCAGAACTTCTGCTCTTCCATTGATGCAAAGCTGAAAGCCAGACTGGATGATCTCCAGCACTACCTCCCGTCCCAGGACGTGGGTAGGTCCACTGGGAGTGTTGTGGGGGTTTCCTTGTGTTTCAGCTGACAGATTGATGGTGTATTTATCCTGATTTAATGTGATATTGAGAAAGACCAGTGAAAAGCTCAGGCGTTTATCTTTGTTGAAGTTTTGGAACCAACTCTAGATTCTTTCATTTCTCGTGGAATAACAGGAAGTGACATCACCTGACCATGAAACTGGGTGATGTCAGCTATCCGATCCCTTTTGAATGTCTGAAACTGTACTTGGCAGGACTGATGGAGCACATCTGTCTGCACTTTAGTCACGTCTTTGATCTGATGCAGTGCTGAAAACCACAGAAGCGTTTGGAGCTAAATCTGAGGGTTTCATACTCTTTGGATTGTATAAACATACGAATGGCAACTATTGGACCACTGAAATATTGAAAGTACTGACAGTTGTTAATGTGTCGTGCTTTGCAGGCTCTGACTCTACTTTGGCCACTGTCCCTTCCTCTGCTGATCAGCCATCGTCATCCTCATTTAACCGCTTCATCGACTCCGCAGCAGTGGAGGCGGCGCTGCGTGACGGCTGTTTGGCCTGTGTTCACCACATTCTGTCCTTCATCCAATCACAGCTGGCTGTGGCCTCGCCAGACTCCAGGCCCACCTGCCTCAGTTCAGTTCTATTCATGGCCAGGCTGAGCCAGTCTATGGGCAAACTGTGCCCCAACCTGAAGCATTGCATCCTGGGAAAGCAGTGTGGTTTTGACAGCACAGCCAAAGGGACCCCCAGGCAAGGCAAGAAGCTGGGCAAAGCCACGGCCGCTGCAGAGGTCAGGCCTTCCCAGGACAAGTGGGAGGAGCTGAAGGAGGAGCTTCTTGGCTGCAGTATGGAGGCCTACCGCATCTGGAGCGCCGCTCTTTCTAAAGTCAGACACAGTCACAAGTGTACATGTAAACTTGACATGTGGTTAGTGTCAGTTTATGGGGAGGTTTGTAGAAATCTGATAGAGCAGTAGAATCACATCACGTCACCTAGCGTCCAGCTGTGGTTAAACTGGTTTATAAAGGTTGAGTGAAAGTGTATTATCTGACTGAACTGTTGAGCAGACGGGTGGAGGGACACTGACTAAACCAGTGATCATGCTGCTGTTGGCTGTGAAACCTGTCTGTTTGCTAATGTTTTAGTTTCAACAGACGTATGTGGGAGGGTCAAAGGTCTACAGCTATGACTCTGGTGTTGTCTGAAGACCTGCTCGGCTCTGTGTTGCAGGGGCTGTTGGAGAAGTTTGGCATGGTGCTTCATGCTGAGTCTGCAGGCACCATCTTAGCTACAGCAACTAACTGGGAGGATCTGGAAATCCAGGAGGAGGCCGAGTCTGGAAGCAGCGTTACATCCAAGATCCGTCTTCCAGTACAGGTCAGGAGGACATCTGATACAAACTGGAAGGACCCAGAATCCATCCTGAGGTCTGATGGCAACCTTTTGTTTCTGGTGTCTTCTGTAGCCAACGTGGTTTGTGCAGTCCCTGCTGTTCCAGCTGTGTGTGGAAATAAACAGGGTGGGAGGCCACGCCCTTCCTCGCTCCACCCTCCAGGAGTTTCTGCAGACCTGTTTGACTGAAGTCCTGCACCATTACCACAGCCTGACACAGACCAGCAGCACGGTAACTGGGACCTGTCTGGTAGATAGTTGGATTATTCCTCGACCTGATGATTTCCTGTGTTCTGAGAAAAGTCTGAGAATAATCTTCATGATGATCACAGACGAGCAGAGCGTCACGGCTCTGTAGGAGGAAAAGAAGGGAATCATGCTAGCAGGACCTGGTGTATGGCTACAGACAGCCAGAAATATTCAATGAGAGACTAATGAAGAGCTAAGTACACGCATACTTAAGTAGAAGTACAGATACTAGTGTTCAGAAATACTCCAGTAAAAACTGAAGCACTGATTCTACTTCTTTACTCGATTAAAGGTGAAAAGTACAGGTTGTGAAATGTGCTCACAGTAAGAAAGTAAAAGGTTTGTATTGTTGTACAAAGCTGACGGAGCTGTGCTGCATCAGTTCAGTAACAGTGTAAGAAAGTAGATTGGAAACAAGCTTTTAGTCAACAGTTAAATTGTAATAAATGTACTCAGCTTGGTTAGGTAGAGTCTGAGTGGGAAAGGACAAACGCTGAGAGGGTGACTTTCCCCCACATCGGTGGGATCAGCACATGAACCCTGAGATTCGCTGTAAGGACTCAGCGTGGGGAGAGCTCACACAGGTCTCTGCTGTGGGCTCTATTTTCTTAGTGTTCAGGCTGTGATCAGCTGATCTGAGGTTTACGGCTCTTTGTAGATTTACAGAAGCAGCTGTTTCATCAGCTGTACGGACGTGTGCTGCTCATGCTGCCTTTATACTGGCTGGTGTCAAGTTGGAGTGAATCCAGTGAGTGGATCTCAGCATCATGAGCTTAACTCTGACCGTGATCATCAGTCACACACTGTTCTTTACTTTAAATCATCACAGCAAACTAACCTGTTTATCCTGCTTTGAACTGCACCTTCCTTCATGCAGTACCACAGTCAGCCTACCTTACCATGGACATGAATGAACCTACTATCACGTGTACAGAATGATGTCTGATTAACAACGAGAGGAGTTTCATGGCTCTGCTCGTGGTCAGGGCGTCAGTGCAAACTACCATTATAATGTCTTTAATGTTGTTAATACAAAAAAGGAAGTAGGAAGTGTTACGACACAAAGAAACTAGTGCTGTCAGCGTTACCGGGTTAACGCGTCATAACATATCCCTGTTAACGAGTTAACACAGATTAGTCCGGGTTACTTGGTGTCAACGCCACATTAACGCGTTAATGCGCTAAAAGAAACCTTATTTGAACCGAAGAGATCAGAGGTCCAATGTGATATTAGAATCACACCCTATAGGCCTGTTCACCACTCAGGCATAACTCATGACCACTGACAGGTGAAGTGAATGTCACTGACCATCTCTTCATCATGGCGTCTTTTACTGGGTGTGACATGTTAGGGAGCAAGTCGACGTTTGGGCCTCGAAGTTGGTGTTTTAGCAGGAAAATGGGCAGACATAGAGTCCAGGTAGTGATGCTAGATAACTGAGTCAGAGCATCCTGTGGGGGCTTCAGTCTGCAGTGGTCAGAACAATGGTGGACAGGCTAACTGGAGAGCGTGGTCTGATCAAATAGACAAGCTCTGTAGGTCACATTGGCAAAGGTGTAATGCTTGCTCTGATAGGAACTGTGTTTTTAATGGGGCTGCAGATCTGTCAGGGTGCCCATGCTGGACCACGGTGCAGTGGAGGAAGATCGCCTGGTCTGATCAGTCGTGTTCTCTCTTACATGACGTGGCTGCTCGGGTGTTTGCGTGGCAAGCTTGCAGATGCAGTATAATCCTTTAGGTCAGTGGTTCCCAAACTTCTTTTGCTTCTTTTGTTTTTACAGCAAAAATCTAGTCTTTGGCTTAGAATGAAGTTTGTTTGGAAACATATTCAGCGATGCTTCATCTCCTGCTTTGTGTTTGTGTGGGAGCCCGTGCTAGCAGTGTCCAAGCGTTGTTGTTGTTGTTGTTTTTTTCCTGTTTCATACCGCGCACCCCCCCCCCCCCCCCCCCCCACACAATGGCTCTGCGCCCCCCTAGTAGGTAGGTGGCACGCATGTGGATGCGTGCCACCTACCAGTTGTTACAGACCATGTTTCATGGTGTATGCCATGATTGCTATGGCCTCTTTCAGCAGGAACATGCAACATCAGACAGAGCAGGAATGGTTTGAGGAAAACAATATAGCTTTGAGGGGTTGACTGGACCTCCATATTCCTTAGATCTCAGTCCAGTCTATGTGAGAGAGAATCTCTTGGTTCCAAAGCACACCTTCAGGGCTCTACTGGAGCACAATGCAGCAACAAAAGGGAACTACACAATATTAGGCAGGTGGTCATAAGGTTATGACTGATTAGTGTATTTTGTCAATGCAACTGTCAAAACGATGGCAGTGAGAAACTGATCTGATGGCAAAGGAGCACAGAAACATAAGGGCGTGGTTAGCACTTTAAATGTATTTTCTATGGTTGTGCCTCCCTTCTCCTTCAGGATGCTGTATTCCCCATGACGCAGAACAGAGCCCTGCAGTTCCTGTTTGACCTCCGTTACCTGAGCGCTACTCTGGGGAGCAGACTGGAAGAACTGAAGAACTCCCGACCACAGCAAGACCCAAGGTATCAATTCACATCCAAAATATGTGTCATGGGCTGTTTGTGCACAGTCTGCAAACACCCGAGGAAGCTTGGAAACTGTAATCCTGTAATACTGTAGTGCAGCACGAGCCAGAGGTGTTCACGGGTTCATATGGTTGTGTCCAGAATCAGGGACTGAATCCTGCGACGTGAGTGGCTGTTCAATTGGTAGGTCTCGCCCAGGGGTGTCAAACTCAATCGCACAGGGGGCCAAAACTGAAGGCACACTTTAGGTCGCAGGCCAAACAAGATAAAGATTTATTGAACACTCAAACAATGTTTTTTAAACATAAATATGAATAAAAACAGACAGGAATATGATTCCAGATTAAATAAACTTAAAAAAAGAAACTTTAAATATTTTGCTCTTCATAAAAATATATCCTGTCAAAATGATGCAAGTTAGAAATATGAACATGCTGCCAAACCCCCAGAAAAAGTAAATGAGAGCAAACACAAGGTTGGAGCCGCATGTAGACGAGCTGGGCGCTGCTGCAGGAGTGGAGCTAATAAACTGTGCGGGCCATTCAGTGTCTTTCCCTGAGTGTATCGTTACACTGCAGCTGCATCTGAATCTGCACAGGTGCAGCTCAGCAAAGTGCGCTGACTTGGTTCAACATTACTGCAACAGGGAAAGTGAGGCAGGCTGCACTGGTGCATTAGTGACAGCTTCACTTGAAACGCCTTCACTGCATCACACATGTCCATGAACTGACAGGTTTCCTTGCTGAGCTCAAAAACTCTGTTGAACTTTTATCCCAACTCAGCCAGCGGAGCTCTGCATGAAGGAATGTGGGCAAACTCTGAATCTATTTCCCACATAAAAGACTGAAACTGACGGTGATTTAAACTTTTAGCTCAGGTAAAATGTACGGTCTGCGTCACGGTGACCATTACATGCTCCATTTTTAGGACTTCACCACACAGCCTTTCCTGGTGTGTGATGCAGTGATGTGCTGTTAACTCACCGGTACATTTCTCCTGCATCTTTACTGCATCCTGCTGACTACTCCACTTTTTTTGGACACAACCCCCTAACTTTGGACACATCCCCCACACACCCCTGATGTTAGACACAGCCCCCCGACTTTGGACACATCCCCCACACACCCCTGACTTTAGACACAGCCCCCACACACCCCTGACGTTAGACACAGCCCCCGACTTTGGACACATCCCCCACACACCCCTGACTTTAGACACATCCCCCACACACCCCTGACGTTAGACACAGCCCCCCGACTTTGGACACATCCCCCACACACCCCTGACTTTAGACACAGCCCCCACACACCCCTGATGTTAGACACAGCCCCCCGACTTTGGACACATCCCCCACACACCCCTGACTTTAGACACAGCCCCCACACACCCCTGACGTTAGACACAGCCCCCCGACTTTGGACACATCCCCCACACACCCCTGACTTTAGACACATCCCCCACACACCCCTGACGTTAGACACAGCCCCCCGACTTTGGACACATCCCCCACACACCCCTGACTTTAGACACAGCCCCCACACACCCCTGACGTTAGACACAGCCCCCCGACTTTGGACACATCCCCCACACACCCCTGACTTTAGACACAGCCCCCCGACTTTAGACACAGCCCCCCGACTTTGGACACAGCCCCCTAACTTTGGACACATCCCCCACACACCCCTGATGTTAGACACAGCCCCCTGACGTTGGACACAGCCCCCTGACTTTGGACACAGCCCCCACACCCCCTGACTTTAGACACACCCCCCTGACGTTGGACACAGCCCCCTGACGTTGGACACAGCCCCCTGACTTTGGACACAGCCCCCACACCCCCTGACATTAGACACAGCCCCCTGACGTTGGACACAGCCCCCTGACGTTAGACACAGCCCCCACACCCCCCTGACGTTAGACACAGCCCCCTGACGTTGGACACAGCCCCCTGACTTTGGACACAGCCCCCACACCCCCCTGACTTTAGACACACCCCCCTGACGTTGGACACAGCCCCCTGACGTTGGACACAGCCCCCTGACTTTGGACACAGCCCCCACACCCCCTGACATTAGACACAGCCCCCTGACGTTGGACACAGCCCCCTGACGTTAGACACAGCCCCCACACCCCCTGACGTTAGACACAGCCCCCTGACGTTGGACACAGCCCCCACACCCCCTGACGTTAGACACAGCCCCCTGACGTTGGACACAGCCCCCACACCCCCCTGACGTTAGACACAGCCCCCTGACTTTGGACACAGCCCCCTAACTTTGGACACATCCCCCACACCCCCTGACTTTAGACACAGCCCCCTAACTTTGGACACATCCCCCACACCCCCTGACGTTGGACACAGCTCCCTGACTTTGGACAAAGCCCCCACACCCCCTGACATTAGACACAGCCCCCTGACTTTGGACACAGCCCCCACACCCCCCTGACTTTAGACACACAGCTCCCTGACGTTGGACACAGCCCCCTGACTTTGGACAAAGCCCCCACACCCCCTGACATTAGACACAGCCCCCTGACTTTGGACATAGCCCCCACACCCCCCTGACTTTAGACACACAGCTCCCTGACGTTGGACACAGCCCCCTGACTTTGGACAAAGCCCCCACACCCCCTGACATTAGACACAGCCCCCTGACGTTGGACACAGCCCCCACACCCCCCTGACGTTAGACACAGCCCCCTGACGTTGGACACAGCCCCCACACCCCCTGACGTTGGACACAGCCCCCTGACGTTGGACATACCCCCACACCCCCTGACGTTGGACACACCCCCCTGACGTTAGACACACACCCCTGACGTTGGACACAGCCCCCACACCTCCCTGACATTAGACACACACCCCTGACGTTGGACACAGCCCCCTGACTTTGGACACAGCCCCCTGACTTTGGACACAGCCCCCACACCCCCCTGACGTTGGACACAGCCCCCTGACGTTGGACATACCCCCACACCCCCTGACGTTGGACACACCCCCCTGACGTTAGACACACACCCCTGACGTTGGACACAGCCCCCACACCTCCCTGACATTAGACACACACCCCTGACGTTGGACACACACCCCTGACGTTGGACACAGTCCCCTGACTTTGGACAAAGCCCCCACACCCCCTGACGTTGGACACAGCCCCCTGACGTTGGACACAACCCCCACACCCCCCTGACTTTAGACACAGCCCCCTGACGTTGGACACAGCCCCCACACCACCCTGACTTTAGACACACCTCCCTGACATTGGACACAGCCCCCACACCCCCCTGACTTTAGACACACACCCCTGACGTTGGACACACCCCCCTGACGTTGGACACAGCCCCACACCCCCTGACGTTGGACACAGCCCCTGACGTTGGACACAACCCCCACACCCCCCTGACTTTAGACACACACCCCTGACGTTGGACACACCCCCCTGACGTTGGACAAAGCCCCCACACCCCCTGACGTTGGACACAGCCCCTGACGTTGGACACAACCCCCACACCCCCCTGACTTTAGACACAGCCCCCTGACGTTGGACACAGCCCCCACACCCCCCTGACTTTAGACACACCCCCCTGACGTTGGACACAGCCCCCACACCCCCCTGACTTTAGACACACACCCCTGACGTTGGACACACCCCCCTGACGTTGGACACAGCCCCCACACCCCCCTGACTTTAGACACAGCCCCCTGACGTTGGACACAGCCCCCTGACGTTGGACATAGCCCCCACACCCCCTGACTTTAGACACACACCCCTGACGTTGGACACAGCCCCCACACCCCCCTGACTTTAGACACACACCCCTGACGTTGGACACAGCCCCCTGACTTTAGACACACCCCCCTGACTTTAGACACACACCCCTGACGTTGGACACAGCCCCCTTACGCTGGACACAGCCCCCACACCTCCCTGACTTTAGACACAGCCCCCACACCCCCCTGACTTTAGACACACACCCCTGACGTTGGACACAGCCCCCTTACGCTGGACACAGCCCCCACACCCCCCTGACTTTAGACACACACCCCTGACGTTGGACACAGCCCCCTGACGTTGAACATAGCCCCCACACCCCCCTGACTTTAGACACACACCCCTGACGTTGGACACACCCCCCTGACGTTGGACACAGCCCCCACACCCCCCTGACTTTAGACACACACCCCTGACGTTGGACACAGCCCCCTGACGTTGAACATAGCCCCCACACCCCCCTGACTTTAGACACACACCCCTGACGTTGGACACACCCCCCTGACGTTGGACACAGCCCCCACACCCCCCTGACTTTAGACACACACCCCTGACGTTGGACACACCCCCCTGACGTTGGACACAGCCCCCACACCCCCCTGACTTTAGACACAGCCCCCTGACGTTGGACACAGCCCCCTGACGTTGGACATAGCCCCCACACCCCCTGACTTTAGACACACACCCCTGACGTTGGACACAGCCCCCTGACTTTAGACACACCCCCCTGACTTTAGACACACACCCCTGACTTTAGACACAGCCCCCTGACGTTGGACACAGCCCCCTGACGTTGGACACAGCCCCCACACCCCCCTGACTTTAGACACACACCCCTGACGTTGGACACAGCCCCCTGACTTTAGACACACCCCCCTGACTTTAGACACACACCCCTGACGTTGGACATAGCCCCCACACCCCCCTGACTTTAGACACAGCCCCCACACCCCCCTGACTTTAGACACAGCCCCCTGACTGCCTTCGGTGGTCAGTAAGATTAGAAGGAGTCCATTTGCATTTATCGACAGTGGAGTGTTAAATAACTGCAAACGTTGTGCTGCATGTCTTACAGATTCCATGAAACCTGTGATTGGCTGGAGAGCTTCATTGACCCCTTTGACCTGGACGTGTTTACACCTCACCTGAACGCCAGCCTCAACCGACTGTCTCAAAGGACCTTGGTACTTCCAGCTATGCTTAAATGAGTCAAAGATAAACAATGCTATTTTTGTAACAGGCAGTTCATTTGGACAACACATTTATATCAGACACATACATTAAGAGACACACATTCTCATTTAATGGTCAAAGGAGCTTGGAAAGAAAAGCGTCTGGACTTCTTTAAGTTGCTTGAAGACGTTTCACCTCTCATCCGAGAAGCTTCTTCAGTTCTAAGGTCAAATGGTGGAGAGTCCCAGATATAAACCTAGTGGGAGTTTCCCCCCACAGAGGGACAAAAGGACCCCTGATGATCCTCTAATCGCCTGAGCCAAGGTGTGAAACTGGGTGTGGGTCCCAATCAGCCAGAGTTTCGGGTGTGTTCATTGTGAAACCTGGCCCCACCTTATCATGTGAATTCCTGAGGTCAGATGGCCCAGGATGTGAGTGGGCGTTAAGGCGTCTGGGAAGGATCTCAAAACTGGATTATAGATGGCAGAGAGTTGGTGTCGTAAACCCCGCCTCTGTTCAAAGATGGTCGCTCACAGTGGACATAGATGCTTTTTTCACTCCTCTTTCAAACCATCTGTCCTCTCTGTCCAAAATGTGAACATTGGCATCCTCAAAGAGTGACCTTTGACCTTTAGATGCAGATGGATGCTGAGTCTTGTCCTGTGGAGGTGGCTCTTCTGTGTTGTGCCATGCGCTTGTGAAGTGGCTGTTTGGTCTCTCCAATGTAGAGGTCTGAGCATTCCTCGCTGCACTGTACAGCATACACCACATTGTTAAGTTTGTGTTTTGGAGTTTTGTCTTTCAGGTGAACCAGTTTGTGTCTGAGCGTGTTGCTGGGTCTGAAATACACTGGGATGTCATGCTTGGAGAAAACTCTCCTGAGTTTCTCTGATACACCGGCTACATAGGGGATGACAATGTTGTTGCGTCTGTCCTTCTTATCAACTTAAAGAAGTCCAGACGCTTTTCTTTGCAAGCTCCTTTGACTACGATGACCTGGATGACTGAGAACCTTCACAGACATACTCATTTAATGGTTTTTCTACTATTTCCATTGTAGGTTCTCACTGAAGCCATCAAAACTCTGAATAAACACAACATAAAATTATGTATTAAACAAAAAAGTGTGAAATAACTCAGATTCTTCCAAACAGCCCCTTTGCTTTGATTCCTGCTTTGCTCTCTCGGCGTCTCCATGAGCTTCATGAGGTCGTCTCCTGAAATGGTTTCCAACAGTCTTGAAGGAGTTCAGAGATGCTGAGCACTTGTTGGTCCTTTGCCTTACCTTTGCGCTGCATCTCATCCCAAACCATCTCCACTGGGTTTAGGTCAGGTGACTGTGGAGGCAGCAGGATTCCTGAGAGTAATGAGATGAATGTATCCTTAGCAGCAGAGGTGACTCCTGGTCTTCTTTTCCTGGGCTGGTGCTCATAGAGCAGGGCGATATGCCCAAAAATATTTATCACGATATGCATTTGAAAATTTGCAATAACGATATAACTGACGATATAATTGACACTAGACAAAATACTTTACAACTCCTCAACTTTATTAGTGCAAAAAAACCCATCAATGTATTTTCACTGAAACAAGCAGCTGTTTTTTATCTGCATTAAAGTTATATAAAAATGTAACAGAGAAAATTCCTCACTGACAGTTTAACCAAAAAGCATTTCCAGTGGAAACTGGCCGACACATCCTCAGCATAACCATGTATAACATCCACAGAACTTAAAAAGAGGTTATACACACACAATACGGTAACATTATGTTGAAGCACAGTACGTATCACTCCGCGAGGCTCCGCCTACGATAGCTGTAACGCTCCCACAATCCATCAAGCGGTGCGGCTTCGTAGCTTAGCAAAGTCGTACTGAAACATCTGACAGATTTTCGAGCGCCGTGCACATAAAATCGTTTCGAGGTCAGTAAACACAACCAGAGTTCATACATAAGGCACACGGGATTATAAGGGGCTCTGTCGACTTTCAGAAAAATCAAAGGATTGATTTTAAGTGCGCCGTATTTTCCAAACAACACTGTAATAACGACGGCCCGCTAGCATGCGCTACCAAAAATAGTGCTTTGTTGTGTATCTGACGGACGAAAGCTAAACCAGTTCCACACCAGTGAAGCTGCAGCATTTTTACAAACCAGTTCAGGTTCATCGTTTCATTCAACGATCCGCTTTCGCTCTTCTCATTCTGCGTCGCCGCCATGTGCGCATGTAAACAAAGGCACTGCGCGTTTTACCCATATTCTATCGCGATATTTCATTTTCCTATCGTTGCCCAACATTACACCGGTATTACCGTGAACAGTATGATATAGCCCAGCCCTAGGTCGTCATGTGAGACAGTTTCATCATCAACTATCAGTACTTGATAGTTTTTGTGACTGCACTTGGAGACACTTTCAAAGTTTTAGCAATGTTCTGGACTGACTGACCTTCAGTTCATAAAGTAATGATGGACTGTTGTTTCTCTTTACTGAGATGATTGCTTCTTTCCATAATATGAATTCTGACAGTTGTCTTCAAAGGCTGATTCGGTTCATCTGGACGTTTTCAGTGGGAGAAACGTTTCGTCATCATCCAGGTGACTTCTTCAGTTCAGCTGACTGCAGGTTGACTGCAGCTGACCTGCCAGCCCATTGTTCCTTCACTGGGCTGCTTTAGTCATTATATGTCCTGTTTATAAGACTGGAAACCTGCAGTCAGCTGAGACTGAAGAAGTCACCTGGATGATGACGAAACGTTTCTCCCACTGAAAACATCCAGATGAACTGAATCAGCCTTTGGAGATTTACTTACCTGGATTGTTGAGCATCAAGAGGTTTAACAGTTGTCAAACAGAGCTGTCAGCTGTGCACCAACCTGACGTCTGAACAACACAACTGATGGTCCCAACCCCATCAAGAAGGCAACAAATTCCCCCAATGAACCCTGACAGGCTCACCTGTGAGGTGAAACAATGTCACGTGACTACATCATGAAGCTCAGTGAGAGCAGGCCGAGGGTTTGCAGAGCTGTCAACAAAGCAAAGGATGGCTACTCTAAAATATAAATTATTATATAAAAAAATTTTTCTTTGTTACATGCGTCCATATATGCTGCTTCATATATTTGATGTCTTCAGTTTGTATCTACAATGTAGAAAGAAGTAAAAATAAAGACAAACCATTAAATGAGAAGGTGTGTCCACACTTTCACTGGTAGCGTATACAAAGACAACACTTAGTCACTGCAAGTACACAAGTGCATGGAAGACTGTGCAAAGGAACCGAGTGACATGAACACATCCATCGTCACATCCAAACAGAAAAGCTTCACGCAAGTCGAGTTGCTCGAGATTCACAGAATTTACAGAAAATGTTACATTTTTGTGATTTATATCATTGTCAGGATGATAAATGTCTTATATCAGGATATGAGAGTGTCACGATATCTCCTGATGTACTTCTGAAGATTATTGTCCAAAGTCAGTGAACATGTCTTCTGTGTTGTGTTTGCTGTCTGAATGGATCCTATGAGCCACTCATCTAATGCTGTCCTAATTATTTCCTTGTCAGTTTATAAGGAGTCTTTTTGTTTTTCCTCCAGGTCCTGCTGGGGCTCCTGACAGGCTCAGAGAAGCAGTTTGCTTTGCGAAGCAGCAGTTTGAACTCCCAGGATCCTTACAACATACTGCCGCTAGCCAGCAGCCAGATCAGGTCAGAATTTAGTTACTAATAGTTACTAAATGAAAAAGAAAGTAATGGGTAAGTAAAATCTGATGGTATAGTTTCACTTTCATCTCTTTAATGATCAATAAGATGGGATCGTCACGTGACATAGGCGTGAGAATAAACATGGCGGAAGGCTCTGTAAGCTGTGTCAAGCAGAGGCCAGGGCAGCCTGATCCTCAGCTATCGAAGCTATCTGGTGAGGAAAGAGCCTGAGCCAGTGCGTGAGGTTGAGCGATACCAGTTAGACTTCCTTGTGCTCACCCTAATGCACAGCTTGGGCTCTGCAACCAGTCTCCTGCAGAGGAGCTGGAATCTGTTCCAGTTTGAATTGCCAGGAGGGTATTCCTGTACCCGCCGGTTTGCTGCCTGTACATTTGGGTTTTTACCTGTGGACAGGAAGGCTGCTTCCCTGCCTCCAGGTTGGGGAGTGGGTCTTAACCGTTGTTTGTGTTTGTGCGGTTAATAATTCAGTTCAGAACACTTAGCTTTCTTGAATGCACTGGATGGAGTGCTGGAGGGTACTACGTCTGGCGTCTCCATCGTCCCACTACAAGACCTCAGTGCACATGTGGGCAATGACAGTCAGGGGTGTGACTGGGAGGAGTGGCCGGCATGATCTGAAGCCAAGTGGTCATCAATTATTCCACACTGAACACCATGTTCAAGAATAAAGATGTCCGTCAGCGCATGTGGCACCAACGCACCCTAGGCTACAGTTCAGTGATCAGTTTTGTAGTTGTGTCATCATGTCTGTGGCTGTGAACATATGTTCTGGTGAAGAAAGGAGTTGATCCGTCAGCTTCTCACCAGCTGGTGGTGGACAGGCCTGGCACACCTGAAAGTATAGTGAGGATGCACTGGGAGCACCTGGCAGAGGCCCTGGTCCACAAAACCTTCAACTCCTGTGTGCAGAAGTACTTTGGCAGCTTTCCGAGGGAGGCTGGGGACACTGAATCTGAGTGGACTATGTTCTGATGAAGCTGCTGGACGGTGCTGAGGCTACAACATCATCGGTGACTGTTGTGCTGGTAATCCCTGCGAAGGGAGGCAAAAAGAATGATTCCTATCAGGCTTGGTTAGCCTAGAGTTGGGTGGCAGCTGAGGGGTGCTAACAGGCCGAGCAGAACACAGCCTGAGTAGTAACTGAAGCAAAGACTCACTGGTAGGAGTTCAGTGAGTCCTTGGAAACAAAAATCAGTCTGCCTCAGAGTGATTCTGGGAAAGCTTCAGCTGACTCAGGGAAGCAGTGTTGACTCATACAGTGGGGCAAAAAAGTATTTAGCCACCGATTGTGCAAGTTCCCCCACTTAAAATGATGACAGAGGTCAGTAATTTGCACCAGAGGTACACTTCAACTGTGAGAGACAGAATGTGAAAAAAAAATCCATGAATCCACATGGTAGGATTTGTAAAGAATTTATTGGTAAATCAGGGTGGAAAATAAGTATTTGGTCAATAACAAAAATACAACTCAATACTTTGTAACATAACCTTTGTTGGCAATAACAGAGGTCAAACGTTTACTATAGGTCTTTACCAGGTTTGCACACACAGTAGCTGGTATTTTGGCCCATTCCTCCATGCAGATCTTCTCGAGAGCAGTGATGTTTTGGGGCTGTCGCCGAGCAACACGGACTTTCAACTCCCGCCACAGATTTTCTATGGGGTTGAGGTCTGGAGACTGGCTAGGCCACTCCAGGACTTTCAAATGCTTCTTACGGAGCCACTCCTTTGTTGCCCGGGCGGTGTGTTTTGGATCATTGTCATGTTGGAAGACCCAGCCTCGTTTCATCTTCAAAGTTCTCACTGATGGAAGGAGGTTTTGGCTCAAAATCTCACGATACATGGCCCCATTCATTCTGTCCTTAACACGGATCAGTCGTCCTGTCCCCTTGGCAGAAAAACAGCCCCATAGCATGATGTTTCCACCCCCATGCTTCACAGTAGGTATGGTGTTCTTGGGATGCAACTCAGTATTCTGCTTCCTCCAAACACGACGAGTTGAGTTTATACCAAAAAGTTCTACTTTGGTTTCATCTGACCACATGACATTCTCCCAATCCTCTGCTGTATCATCCATGTGCTCTCTGGCAAACTTCAGACGGGCCTGGACATGCACTGGCTTCAGCAGCGGAACACGTCTGGCACTGCGGGATTTGATTCCCTGCCGTTGTAGTGTGTTACTGATGGTGACCTTTGTTACTTTGGTCCCAGCTCTCTGCAGGTCATTCACCAGGTCCCCCCGTGTGGTTCTGGGATCTTTGCTCACCGTTCTCATGATCATTTTGACCCCACGGGATGAGATCTTGCGTGGAGCCCCAGATCGAGGGAGATTATCAGTGGTCTTGTATGTCTTCCATTTTCTGATGATTGCTCCCACAGTTGATTTTTTCACACCAAGCTGCTTGCCTATTGTAGATTCACTCTTCCCAGTCTGGTGCAGGTCTACAATACTTTTCCTGGTGTCCTTCGAAAGCTCTTTGGTCTTGGCCATGGCGGAGTTTGGAGTCTGACTGTTTGAGGCTGTGGACAGGTGTCTTTTATACAGATGATGAGTTCAAACAGGTGCCATTCATACAGGTAACGAGTGGGGGACAGAAAAGCTTCTTACAGAAGACGTTACAGGTCTGTGAGAGCCAGAGATTTTCCTTGTTTGAGGTGACCAAATACTTATTTTCCACCCTAATTTACGAATTAATTCTTTACAAATCCTACCATGTGAATTCATGGATTTTTCTTTCACATTCTGTCTCTCACAGTTGAAGTGTACCTCTGGTGCAAATTACTGACCTCTGTCATCATTTTAAGTGGGGGAACTTGCACAATCGGTGGCTGACTAAATACTTTTTTGCCCCACTGTACATGTAGTGAGTGTGGCCTTCGCTGCTGAATTTACCTGAGGGTATAGTTGGGGGATGGAAGGAATATTTTGAGCACCTCCTTAATCTCATGGTATCTGGCCAGGAGCAGGTCAGTCTCTGTACAGCCGTTGGGAGTGTTTGGTGCAGTATGTGACTGATACTGTTGATAACCGTTATGGACAGAAGTTAGGTGTGGTGCAGGGGAGGCCTCAGAAGCTTATCTCTAATGTCTGTGGGTCTGTTGGCTTGGCAGGTGGTGCTGACATTCAGATAGTGGGCTGCAGAGAGCCAGCAACACCACCAGGATGATGAACACAGAGAGGAAAAGAAACAGATGTTGACAAAAGCAGCTTTTCAACTGGTCTGCTGGTTTTACACAATTATGACTTCAGCGGTTCAACTGTTAGTTTAGATTTCCTTGTTTTCCCCAATAGCAGAAAAATGTGGTGCTGGTGACCAACGTACCACTGCACTGTTCAACTGGCCAAACTGGAAATACTCTGTTTGTGTGTCTGACAGGTTCGGGCTGCTGCCTCTCAGCGTGTCAAATGTGCAGAAATCCAAGGCAGCTTCCAGAAGCTCTGAAGCTCCTCAGCAGCTGGTGGTGAGTTCAGAGTCTGTCAGAGTTCTTGTTTGGGACATTTCCCCTCTGTGATGTTATTTACTGGCAGCCACACGATGACTTTACGTCTCTGTTTTACTGTGCTTATCTAAATGTCCTGTGTCACGCCCTTTGCCTTCCCAGCATTTCTAAGTTCAAGCAAACCAGTGTCAAACCAGTGTGTTCATCACTGTGTGTTTGGATTCTGCTGGTGAACAGCCACGTTACAACAGAATACTGCCACCAACAACCTAAAGTAAAGTTAAAGTACAAGCGCTACATGTGAAATAACAGCCAGTTTATTAAATAGAGTAAAACATCACCCAAAACATTTTTACCACTGAGCTGTGAAAGAGTGAAAGGGTGATGTCATCACTGCGCCCGCTGTGGACAGCCTGCACACCCAAGTTTGTCAAAGCTGAGAGTGAGATGACTCAGGATTTTCATACTGTAGCTGTAATCATTGAAAGTCTTGGACAAATTAGAATTTCAGTAACTTACTGAAATTCTCACTTACTCATCAGGGGGTCCTTTGTCCCTCTGTGGGGGGAAACTCCCACAGGGCTTAAATCTGGGACTCTCCACCATTTGACCTTAGAACTGGAGAAGCTTTTCTGATGAGAGGTGAAACGTCTTCAAGCAACTCAAAGAAGTCCAGACGCTTTTCTTTGCAAGCTCCTTAGACTACCATGACCTGGATGACTGAGAACCTTCACAGACGTTTCATATGACTGTATTATCTTTAACATTTCCAGTGTTGGAATCATTCATGGCCAGAAATAATTCCAGGTCTGGACTCTCTTCCATTCTCCTCATTCATAAAGTTGCTTCGTGGTAAAACGTTAGGAGCTTTCAGATGGCAGCCCTTCTCTGACTCTGCTGAAGGTCTGAGCAGAGTCGGGCTCCTGTTTCAGAGCAGCTCTTTTGCCAGGTGCTTGTCTTCAGATGTCCCGTGACCTGTTTCTCCTTCCTCCTCCAGGCTCCTCAGTCCTTCACAGCAGGCAGTGATGACAGCTTCCGGCCAGGCAGCCTTTTCAGGCAGCTCGCTGATCAGGATGAAGACACAGCAGCGACTTCTTTATTTAAGCTTAACTGGCTCTCTGGGATGGGCAAATAATTCTCAGCTGGCTGCTTTGTTACAGTGACATGTACAGTAAATACTCCTTTTGTGTGTTGACAAAATGCCTCCTGTGTGATGTGTAAATGTTGTGTAAGCACTGACGTGTGTTGGCTGACTGGTGATCAGAGCAGCGATACTCTGGTTGAATGTGTGCATACACAAGCAGCATCGTTCAGGCACTCTGTGTTCCTGAAAGGAAACTGTGTGTGACAGGGTGGATGCTTCCTCTGTAGTGCTTTTCTACTCTTCACACTTTCTTTATGCTCCTTCTACCAAAGTGCTTTTCACATTCACACACACTCATACTCTGATGGATGCATCGGAGAGCAGCTTAGGCTGTGGCTGGTTGGTGGGGTAGGCTGTCTTTTTCACTCTGGACTGAAACATGTTTAACACACTGTGGTTTGTGACATACAGACTGATGCAGTCAGCTTCTATCACAGGATGTCTCCACAGCTACATTTGTATGAGTATGTGAACATGCTGACACGAAGCATTATCCCTGCAAACACTCCAGCGATCAGCTGACACATTCTGTACTGGGTTCTACATTTTCTCTGGGTGTTAATATGTCAGGTTGTATTTTATGTATGTATTCAGTTCAGATAGAGATGGCTGGTTGCCATGATGGCAGAAAGCAGGTTGACTTTATCATTATTGCCTCAGAGTAATCACCAGTGTGAAACACATTCTGGTGTTTGTGCAGCACTGTGGTGATTAGTGCTGTCACCTCACATCAAACAGGTTGTGGGTTTGAATCCGTGCCTGCATGGACTCTGAACGTGTGTTAATCATGAGTTCTTATTGGTTGTTGGGTAAGTATTGTAATGCTAAATGTGTCTTGTGGTTAAATGTTGCTTGTGTCTCTCACCAAAATAAACTCAGCCAAACCTTCTGACGGTGACGTTGTTGATTGGCGAGTTTCTAGTTTGCAAAGCTGCTGGATGACGTTGGGACCACACTGTAAAAGTAGCACATGAAGCAAAACCCTCAGACAGGTCCGTGTCGCAGGAACAGCGTGGTGCAGATACTTGGTGTCAAAGAAAGTGTCACCAACACCGGCCCCCACCGTTCAGTTAATAGTTTTTCCATCGATCCTTTTCACAGTTATAAGATGGATCTGTGCTGCTCACCTTTGGCTGGATAACAAGGAGGGCGCTGAACACACTGCAGGCTGTGATTCGGTGCATCTGCAGGGTATTCACAGCACCTCACTCATGTTTACAACCTTATTTCAAATACATTAACTCCACATTGTACACTCAGTACCTCGTAATGATGACGTGAAAAAAGTTGTTGCATGAAATAAAAAGAACAGTGAGTAGTGTTTGAGTATTCATAGCCTTCACCATGACACGAGCTCAGGTGTGTCGGTCAGGGCTGGTGCCAGGGGAGTGCTAGCTGCCACAGATGATACCTGTCTGATTGTTCGGCCCCTGTTTCAGTGGTGTGCTGGGACGTTACACACACTCCTGTCTAAGATCTCATAGACAGTGCATGTCAGAGCACAAACCACTCCAGGGAGTATAAGGATCTGTCTCCAGGCCGAAGAGGAAGGATTGTTTCGAGGGACATATCTGGGGAAGGGTCCAGAAAATGTTCTTGAAGGTCTCATGACCACAGTGTCCACTATCATTCCTAAATGGGAGCACCAGGACTCTTCCCAGAGCTGAACCAATCTGGACAACTGAAGGTCCTTAGTTAGTGAGCAGACCCAACTGAAGCTAGAAGGCAGCCAAAGTCTGGTCTGAAGAAACTAATGTTGAACCTTTGGCCTGAAAGCCAAAGTTCACGTCTGCAGTAAACGGGCAACACTCAGCACCTGACCAGTACCGTCACTGCAGTGAAGTGTGGTGGGGCAGTATCAGCTGTGGGGGTGTTTGACAGCAGGAACTGGGAGACTAGTCAGGTTTAAGGGAAAGATGAATGCAGGACCTGCTCCAGAGGGCTCTGCTCAGACAAAGGTTCATGTTGGTGTTTGAGTTTACCTTGATTCACAACAGGGATGCTGCGACCGCCCTTCTCACTGTGATAGACCTCAGCGACCAGGCAGATGCACTGCTTCCAAAGGTTACAATAGGGGATGCAAAACCCAAGGTGATGGAGGTGGGGGTGGGGGTGACCTTTTACTAGTTCTGAAAAGCTAAAACTAGTGCAGCACGTACACTCTGGACACCAGGGAGGGCGGTGCTTGGCAAAAGTAGTTCATCCTGGCTTCTAACATGAGTTAGTTTCAGCATAACTGCTTCAGCGTGCCCCGGTGGTGTCGACAGCGTGGCAGGTCGATAACTTCTAACTTCTTCTTCTGGTCCTCCTGTTATTCACTACATACCTGTTGTTTACTGTCACACTGTGGGTTCTGCTAACCAGGGATTCAATCACCTTTATTTATTTATTTAGTACATTTGGACCTTTGGTTTAAAAAGATGCTGAAAGTGTTGATTGATATGAAGTGTTTCTCAGGTTAGCGACTTATCATGAAAATACTTGTTGACTACAGCTGTGCACTTCTTAAGCACAAACAGAGCTGACACATATAGAGGCTTTTCTTACCTAAAACTCAAACATTAATACACGTTTAGCGCACATCACTTCTTTGTACTTCATCTCGCTCACACTCATCCACCCACAGATGGCTCAGGATTATCACTGCAGCATACAGAGCACTGGAAGGTCGGTCTCCACAGTTCTCATCCAAACTATTTGTATCTCACGTAAAACTGAAGACTGAGATGGACAGAGTCTTTCCGTCTTTGGCTCCAAGGCTTTAAAACAGTTCACACTTAAGCTCTGTGGAGTCTTTAAAAACAGTTAAAAACCTTTTAAGAAAAAATCAGCAGATTAAACCATTCTCCTTTTGTTTGAACATGGTTCTCTTTGGTATTTATTGTGCTTTAATTGTTGTAAATAATCTTATTTATAAACGTACCCAGTGTTACAACCTACTGTAGCATCTGAGCCACAGACACCATTAATAAATGATCATAAGCGTGTTTTTGCACAGCTGTGTTAAAATAAACTCTTTTTGATTTGAATACAAACACAGTATATATGCCAATATTGATGTATCCTTGATATATCTTGGGGTGGCTGTAGCTCAGGTGGCAGAGCAGGTCAGCCACTAATCAGAAGGTCGGTGGTTCGATCCCAGGCTGCCTCCTAGCTGCATGCCAAATATCCTTGGGCAAGATACTAACCCCATGTTTGCCTACTGGTGGTGGTCAGAGGGCCCGGTGGCGCCAGTGTCCGGCAGCCTCACCTCTGTCAGTGCGCCCCAGGGCGGCTGTGGCTACAATGTAGCTGCCATCACAAAGGTGTGAATGACTGAATGTAGTGTAAAGTGCTTTGGGACTGAGTAAAGCGCTACACAAATGCAGGCCATTTACCATGTATCAGTAGGGACTGTTGGCTGTTTAAAAGAAACATCAGTGAAAGTTAAAAAAAATCAGCTGTGACATTCAAAGTCTTCTACATATTGAGCTTATTTATTAGAATTCATTTATTTGTATTTTTGGGACATGGTCCACACTTGGATGCTACACAGATACTCTTTCATTGACATGCACTGAAATACTATTTTGCACGATTGTGACACATTTAATCTAATAAGACCAAAACAAAACCCTGTAATGACAGCAGTGTATATGTGCAACTGCAGTTCTACAGGGTGGGCCATTTATATGGATACACCGTAACAACACGGGAATGGTTGGTGATATTAAAGTCCTGTTTGGGGCACATTAGTATATGTGAGGGGGCAAACTCCTCAAGATGGGTGGTGACCATGGTGGCTATTTAGAAGTCGGCCATCTTGGATACAACTTTTGTTTTTTCAATAGGAAGAGGGCCATGTGACACATCAAACTTATTGGTAATGTCACAAGAAAAACAATGGTGTGCTTGGTTTCAACGTAAATTTACAGTAGCTTTTCAACAACAACTTCCTATTGAAAAAAACAAAACTTGTATCCAAGATGGCCGACTTCTAAATGGCCACCATGGTCACCACCCATCTTGAGGAGTTTGCCCCCTCACATATACTAATGTGCCACAAACAGGACTTTAATATCACCAACCATTTCCATGTTGTTACCATGTATCCATATAAATGGTCCACCCTGTAGACTCACAACAGTAAGAGTGTTATTAACAAACTGTGCTAACACAATATACATGAAATATGATCTGCTGACTAGTAGAAACTGTAGAAACAGCTTTAAGTACATCAGAAAATGTGATATGTAAATGATCGTTTGTAACTTGTCTTTAGGATTATTTCACTCAAATAAGCAAATGAAATGTAATCTGTGCACAGACAGAAGAAAAGCTTTTGATGGCTCAGCCCGTGTTTCTCCAGATCTTGGCCCTGAAAGCCCAAGTTTTTCCTTCCAATTTAAAATAACTCACAGTTACTAAAACAGGAGACCATTAATAAGTAAAGTGAGACCTTTCATGTATCCAGCTACAAAGAGGACTGCTTTAAACGAACCTGCGTGCATACAAACACACCTGCACTATACTTTTCTACTTCTTCCTGTCGATCTTGCTCATCATGGCTTTGACATCCACTGGAGCGGAGGCAGCGGCAGCCTTGGCTTTTTCCTCCTCTTCTTGCTGCCAGAGGATGATGGGGTGGATGCCCGGGCTCCGGTTGAGAGCATTCTGCTCCAGGTTGGCAGGACTTGGATGGAAATACAAACATTAATGACAAAAAAGCCTCTTTCACCAGAGTAAAGTTGTGAAACACACATTGCTTATCGATTGTAGAATGTTATGCTCTTTACTTGTCCTGTCCCTGGTTTGGGTTCAAATGATTAGACGGTAAACCTGTTTGACCACTATACGCACAGGAGGAGCAACTGGTGACACACAACGCAGAAAATAATATTTGAATGTGATGCCAATCCAAATGGTGTGAAGGGAGGGCTTTTAAAAACACATCAGATCTCAGTGGGTCTGTGGACCAGACTTAAACATGTAAACATCCCTCATGCTGTCTCATCTTAAATGTTCTTATCTTCAATTTGAAAATGGCGCTATCATTACAGGAGCTTCTATCCCATGAATGCTGGAGAAGTTTTATTTACTTTGTTTTCCCATTGCAGTGACGCAGTGCTTCTCCTCTTTCTGTCTTCTTTTTCTTTTAGTCTTCGTCTTTTTCATATAAACTTAAATTCCAAGCATTTTTTACTTGAGCCACAGTGACGGTCTCAGAGGAACTGATTTCTTCCCCTGCGGACTTCAGACACTATTCAGTTTCATACAGTCATCCTTTCTTATTAACTGCAGGCCTCTCTTACAACACTGTCACCACTTCCTGTTTCAGCCTGGATTTAAACATGTCTCCTTATATAGAGATCTGTATGGAAAAGTTTGTGATTCCAAAAGTTTGTGATGTAGTCGGATTACTATTATGAAGGATCCAGGCAAAAAGTACTGCCTGTGTGTACGTCAGTACATGTGGTAATATATCCCAATATAGTAAGAGGTTCCCTTCCCTGTTTTTCCTGTTTGGATCATTTTAAATTGGAATAAGTGGTACCTGAAATTCAGCTTCTGTGTCTACATTATGTAGAATACTAACCTGAAGTTGTGCGGTTCAGGGTTCAGTGCCTTCTTCTGGATGTCCTTGTATGTAGGTGACTTGAGGTAACGGAAGAACGTGTCCTGTGCCAATCAAAAACATGAGCATGCTAGCAACCTCCACGTGTTGGTATGAACAGATCATTTTTGACCCTCACACCAATCATGAATCTGGACACACCTTTTTCATGAGCAGGAAGACGTGCGTCTGTGCTGCTTCCAGCACATAGCGGTGAGGATGTTCCAGACCTTTCACTGTCAGACCCATTGTCCTGCCATCAATGTTGATCCAGCGGGGGGCGCCAGGGGCCAGGA